TGGGTGCAAAAGAAGTGAGAGTTTGTTTGGTATCATTATAATATACACATTTATTTTCTTGTGAAATCAATTTTTTTTTCATAAAATTTCAATCGTAGTATTCATATTTAAAGGAAAAATACAGATACTTCTTATATTTGTAATAAAAATAAATAAATAACCTTATAATAAGTAATTTTTTTAAGTGACAACTTCATCACTTTTTTGGCAATGACAAAAAATTGCCCCCAAAAATATTTTTGATCCATGACGATGTATGTTCTTTGTGGAATCTAAGTCAACTGATTAGCTTACTTTTAGTGCTTATCGATTGAATTTCACCTCGATTTCACAAAATAATTAGTGCATCGAACCTTGTGAGCTAAAGGAAAAATTACCCTTTGACCTTTTTAACTATGGACTCTATTTTACTTTGTCCCTTAAACTATTAAAATTTTCACATTGCCTCTCAACTACTTACATTGTCAACGTATCAGGGTGAAGTGAAAAAGATCCCACTTTTTGGAAGACAAAATGCAACAATTTATCTGTTAAATTTTTGGCAGACGTTAATTACTAGATCAATGTAAAACTATTAAGTGAAAGTGAAATGTGGTAGCTGAGGGGACGATTTGAAAAAAGAGTGACAGTTGAAGGCTAAAATATTCCGTCTGGGTTTAATATTTACATTGACCATTTGTGTGGAATAATTTTTCTATGAATAATCTTCTTAAAAAGCTTCTAGTAAATTTACATGAAATAGCACAACTTGATTATTTAATTGAATAAGAGTTTGGGGAGATCGAGACAGATAGAGAGACACTTAGAATATAAAATGAAGTCCAACACACTACTCTACTTGGCTTGTGGAAATGCCTTTTATTAATTATTTTTTATTATAAAGTTCATGTTAAGTATCACATAAGTCAACTTGCATAAGCCATACATATTAAAAAAAAAAAAAAAAGAAGCCCACTTTCCAAGGTCACCACCAATATCAAATCTGATAAAAAAAAAATAAAAAAATTGATGCAAGTAGCTTTGTCTCGACACACACACCCTTACAATAATGGAGTGATCTTATTGCTGCACGAAGATTTTCCTTAGACATATGAGATAATTATAATTATAAATGAGTCAAGTTATACATTTGAACATTACTGAGAGGGACCACAAAAACCAAAAGGCTTAAGAGCTCAAGTTTTTGTTGAGGGTAACCCATGGTACAAGAAATTGAAGTAGAAGAATCAATACAAGATAGAATAGATAGGAAAGTAATTAGGCAAGATACGTCCAAGATGTTATTTTTGAGATGGTAATTTCTCCACTATGATGTAGATTGACTCATGAAATTCTATCTCCATAACGCAATGTCTAATTTAAAAAATACGTGCGACTGACTAGAATTGAACCATAGAAAAATAAGAAACTAGATATAACAGATAAAAAATAATAATAATTTTAAATCTTTTGTCGCAACTTGCATCAAGATGCAAGTTGCGACCTTTCATTTAAATGCTAACATACATTTTTTTCCGATATTGTATGCTGATAGACATTATTTTAGAAGGGATGTAATGTAACCCTTTGGCAATTTACACTATTCTCAAATAGTAACTTTAGCAACTAACAAATATATTAATATATTTGCCCAAAAAAACAAATATATAAATGTGAAAGAAATCATTACTAGTAAATATTAGTATATATATATATAACAGTTTCGTATTTAACCAACATTTTTTTTCCCGAGTTTTTTCAATTCAAATCTCGAAGTTCGTTACATTCAATGCTTGAAATAATCTTCCAAGCCAACTTGTAGAAGTTTGACTAAATCAAAGATATTTCGATTGAGTTGTTTACTACTCTTTCATATTTGCATCTACTGACAAATGCAAGCTAAGCATTCAAGGACACGAATGAGTATGGCATTGGACTAGGCCAAAAATGAGAAATATAAAGTCCAAACGTATACTTGTTCAGAGAATTGAAAGGTCACTAGGTCAAAATAGTTCGAACAATGTCAGAATTTCAACATGTGGTAATTGTCCATCCATGGTCGATGGATCAATGTTCATATTTTAGTATTTGTTGACTTCAGTGTTATATTAAGTTGATATGATCCGAATTTATAAGTTTTTGTGTCCAAAACACATGCATTTACCAAACTGCACTACACTTCATGTCACCAACTCAGAGTCTATAGATCCACCTAATCCATGAACACTCAAACTGAACTTCCCACTGATTTAGTGAGATTAGTGTTACATTTATCTTCCACAGTTAGGGTGTCTATAGTTCTGACCGGACTTGAGTTGTGTAAGCTCAAGCCCTTACCCAGACGAGTTATTGGACAGGCTAGGCCGGGTTTTGGGTGGGGATAGGCTACCCGCAGCTCAACCAGTCACTCATTTTTAACTTAATATTTTTTAAAATTATATTTTGTAATTAAAAATTGAGTCAAAATAGATAAAAACTAAATAATAAATAATTTTATTTATACAAAATNCTCAAGCCCTTACCCAGACGAGTTATTGGACAGGCTAGGCCGGGTTTTGGGTGGGGGTAGGCTACCCACAGCCCAACCAGTCACTCATTTTTAACTTAATATTTTTTAAAATTATATTTTTTAATTAAAAATAGAGTCAAAATGGGTAAATACTAAATAATAAATAATTTTATTTATATAAAGTAGATTAAAGTCATATATTACCACCAAACTTTCAAAGTTTCAATAGTCAAATTTTTTTCAAACGATTGGGTGGAAGGGTAGACATGGTAGGCAGGCGAGGTGATTGGGCTAGGTGGGCAGGCTGGCTCATGGGCGCATGAGCCAAGTTTTTGCGGGCAAACTCATGTGTCGGGTAATGGATTTGAGGGCAATCTCAAGCTCTTTCTTAAAGAATATGGGGTTCGGGTTTAGACGAACTAACTATTGGGTCTATCGAACTTTTTATTTTTTTCGAACTGAATAACGGAATTCATAGACACCCTGACCCATGGACACCCCCATCCACAGTGTATGGTTTTATATGTGATTACACACATTTTGAATTACAGTTGCTACAAGCTTAAAAAAGACGAGGGTTGAATGATTCTCCATCGTTAATAAATAAGTCAAGCCATATCATTTTTGACCTTTTTTTTGTAATTTTAATATACGAAGATATTGGTTCACCAATCCATACTTGTGNTGTGATTACACACATTTTGAATTACAGTTGCTACAAGCTTAAAAAAGACGAGGGTTGAATAATTCTCCATCGTTAATAAATAAGTCAAGCCATATCATTTTTGACCTTTTTTTTTATTTTAATATACGAAGATATTGGTTCACCAATCCATACTTGTGTTTCAATCGGTGACTTTGAAAAACTTGGACTCTGGGCTATAGATTAGTCACTTTTTATTGTTCCAAATCCGGATCGGATTTAAATATACCATTTTTGGTTCCACAATCGATGAATGAACCATAATTCATGTGCAACTTCTTCTAGTATTTAGTAATAATGCACGATGTTTCATGATTTCAGATCTACATTAATTGCATATCGTATACAATCCATATATCTCCTTTGCCCCGTGCCAATTTCATGGTGTATTAATTGAGCCGAGTCTCTTGTTTATTGACATGCTCATGGAGTCATTGACTTGACAAACACTGGCCTGTGTCCAGTTTGCAAAGTTTAATTAGATTTTTAAATCTTGTACTCGATTTGCCTCTTTTTTGTATCACGAGCTTGAATTCGAGCTTAAGTCCAAGTGAATCCAAAGATCACACCTACAATAAGATGAGTTGTCCATCAAATCAATTGTACTGTTTCCGAGCTAAAATCAAGCAGATCTCGATATTCAGCTTGATTCTTTGAACAACCCTAATTGAATATATTTTTTCAAAGGTTAATTTCACTTTACACCCCAAAAGTTTCTGAAATTCTGAAGTTTCTTCCTAATAGTTCAATTTTCCAAAATTGCACCCCGAATCAAACAAATCTATCTCAATCTGGTCCACTAAATAACTCCTATTCCATTTTCAGTTTATTTCACCCCTCGTGCAATTCACATGACATAAGAAAAGGCTTACTTATTTTTTTTTTTTGATCATGATAAGAAAGGGCTTATTGGTCACAACACACTTGTTTTGGAAATCAAAGCCCAACCAATGTTACCCATATCGTGGGATGCTTTGGTACGTGGTAAGAGTACAGGTATTGGTACGACCTTTTTTTAGATATGCAGTACAATGAGAATAGATTTATCGGGTACAATGTTGTGAATCGCAATTCGTTTTGGAACTCTTATGTAGATCGCTTTTATTATTATACAACATTATATATTACGGAACATTCATAAATAGTAAGTTAGTTATTATTTATCTTATAATTGTACTTGATTTCTATTATCTAAAATAATATATAATTATAAATTTATAAACATTTATTTGATTAATATGTATTTTATATTTGTACTACATGTTCTAAAGCGAATTGATTTAGAGCTAGTATTATAATTTGGGGTTGTCTATTTTGGTAATCTGGATTACGAACCCACCTTGTTTGAGATCGATGTACCAAAATTATAAATCGTTAAAAATTTAGTGAATTGTGATAATCGTGAGCCCAACCAATTATCTAATAAACCACACAAACTTCTAACCCAAAACAGGTTTGATTTGATTGATAAGTTCATGCTTACTTCATATTATTTACGCTTGGGGTGAAAAAATTTAGAGTGCAAACTACAATGAACTCTTTTTTAAAAAATGGGCGATTCTGTGCATTATTTGTGTTTATATCATAACGACGTGCTCAAATGGTTGAAATTTAAAAGATTACATACCATTACAATATTGACCACGTCGATTGCGCGTGTTTAACATCTTGCATGATGATACTGTTTAATATTTTGAAACTGAGACTTAGTAGTCTTACCACGAAATGCAGCAAGCAGCAGCACTACAAGTATATATATTTGAAGCTCTTCTTTGTATATGGTGCAACATTTGAAGCACATATAGCAATATGGGTATTAGAGGTCTCATCTTCACCCTCCTAGTCCTTGCCAATTCGTTGGCTCATTGCAGCGGTGATACACCACCGGCTAGTTTCTCCACTCCGCTTAACCGGAGTAGTTTTCCGGCGGATTTTGTATTTGGCGCGGCATCGGCAGCTTACCAGGTGAGAATTCAGCATTTTATGTGTGCATGCATGTAAAACTGGATAATTGTGTGTGTTGATGAGTGTGTACATGTGTGTGTTTCTTTCATATTAATTGTTGAGTGCATAGATTGAAGGAGCGGCACATAAAGGAGGCAGAGGTCCTAGTATATGGGATACTTTCACACATGAACATCCAGGTCTCTCTCTCTCTCTCTCTCTCTGTGTGGAAAGCAATGAAATTCATAACACTTTTTACANCTCTCTCTCTCTCTCTCTCTCTCTCTCTCTCTGTGGAAAGCAATGAAGTTCATAACACTTTTTACAATAGACATGGGATCTCCATTGAGATTCCAGTCCAGCTCTTGGCCTATGAAGACATCAACCTTATCACATTAAGTCAACGATGAATTAATCATGTCTAGCTACCACAAAATGAATAGCAATTCTTAGGATAAACGACACTCTCCACTATGACTTTTGTCTCACATTTCACTTTCAACTATGATTAAGATTTACTTGATTAATGTTGTTACAAACAACGAAAAATTATTTCACTCTAACCCCCAAAATATGGTAATTCGTTCCACTTTGTCAAACTCATTGATATTTTTTTGTCAAAAATATAATTATTGTTTACTTTTAGGTTGAGGTGAAACCATTAATCGTAGTTGAGGGGATAATGTGAGAAATTCAATAATTCAAGAAAAAAGTGGAATTAATGCCATAGTTGAGGAAGTCAACATATATTTGCCATTTTTTCTTTGAATTGAAAAAGATTAAACACTACAAACAGGCATATAAAATTTGGCAAATCCTCTGTGATTTGGCATATTTGCACATGACCCTCTCACCTCAAAACATATTTATGTACTACGAACTCTGTCAATGGCAAGGGTAAAATGGCATTAACAAGCATTTGTCGTCTTCAACAAAACAAAAAAGAACTAGAATTAATCAGATGACCCAACTTCGTCTTCCATACTATCTCACCATATACAAGAATTAAAATGGCAACAGATGCACACCCAAACACACGCTTAAATGTGAAATTCATTCGCTCTCTAAACGTGGATGATCATTTATTTTTCTTTAGATTCACATGCAAACGATATTGGTAGTGTTTATTTGGCCTTCGATGATCGAGAATATCTCTTTTGTATGGCAGAAAAAATTTTGGACCATAGTACAGGAGATGTAGCGGTTGATTTTTATGATCGTTATAAGGTAAGACCGAGTTCATATTCAATATAATCACCTACCAAAAAATACCAAGTCAAATTCACACAATATATTTAAATTCCTTGAATCTGTGCATATATGCAATTTTGACATAAGATAGTGGCCTTATTTGCAATTAATTTACATGTATAAGAAAGGATTATGCATTTTTATGTTACAGAAGGACATACAACTGCTTAAAGGACTTGGTATGGATGCTTTCAGGCTATCCATCTCCTGGTCTAGATTATTACCAAGTAAGATTACTATACTTGTAATCACTCTTTACTAACTTGGGATTATCTTTTGAAAGTCGGGTCATTATTGGATTGATTGGTTATATCCATTTAATAAGAGGGTAGACATGAACTCGGCTATAGACGACACAAACTTGATTATATTAGGTTATAAATGAGTTGGGTATGAATTGATTAAACTTTACCACAATACAAGATAGACACGCATACATCTTGTTTGACACAGCCCATTATTTATTATACTTGAGAAATAAGCCTCACCAAGAGATTTATTTCTCCATTTTTGTTTATGATGTTGCTCTCAGATGGCAATGTTTTTCTCTCCTCTCAGGTGGAAAGATTAGTGGAGGAGTAAATCAAGAGGGAATCAAATTCTATAATGATCTCATCAATGAGCTCAAATCCAACGGTGACGACCCAATCTCTCTCTTCCCTCTTTCAACTTCTTCTGTACCACACCCTTTAACCCTAAATTGTTGTTATAATAACAGGTTTGAAACCATTTGTCACTCTTTTCCACTGGGATGTTCCTCAGCCTCTGCAAGACGAATATGGCGGATTTTTACACGCCAACATAGTGTAAGTTATTTGTTAAACATCCTGGTTTTAGAAAATGACAACGGCCATTAATGGTACATGTGTAATGGATACGAAATTTTAGGGACATTATGTAACAAAAACAAAAACCAGAGGGTCAAACTATAAATTTTTTTTCACTTACACCCTTTTAACATTTGGACATGGGCGGGCGTAGTACAAAGGTCATACAAATATATTTTTTTTTATTCTTCAAAGCCACCCAATGTGGGTGGGGCTTTGGCAAAACCGCTACCTGTATATATAATTAAAAAGAAAAGAAGTACAAGGGAGGAGAACCAACCTCCAGAAATACAAAGTGGAAGGATCCAAGCAAAAGTAAAAAAGTCATACAAGTATAGTTTATCAATGAATTAATAATAAATTTCGTCGTATTAAACACCTGGTTTTAACATGTTAAATGAACTGGCTTTTTTTTTTTTTTTTTTTTTTAAAGTTGGTAATATAGAGAGAGACACTCACAATTCCTCATTTTCCACATTTTTCGGGCAAAAATTCCTATTGAAAATAGATGAAAATTTGACAATCGTTATGACCATCATTATTGTTTATTTGTTAAACATACACATGATCAAATACTCATCTATATTATTAACAATATGCCATATGATTAAAAGGTACAATTTAATTATGCCTTAAACAGGAACGATTATCGGGACTATGTGGACATTTGCTTCAAAGAATTTGGTGATCGGGTCAAGCATTGGATCACGTTGAATGAGCCATTGTCAGTCAGCATGTTTGGGTACGCGACGGGAACTCATGCGCCTGGTCGATGTTCCAACTATGTCGGAAATTGCACCCAGGGTAACTCTGCCATAGAACCCTACGTCGTAGCACACCATCAACTTCTTGCTCATGCAGCTGCTGTTAGGTTATATAAAGAGAAGTATCAGGTGGTAGTTACTTTTTGCACAAGTTATAACTTAAATGTCTATACTGTTTTCTTTATTCAGCAAGTTATATACAGAAGTTACATAATGCAAAGAAAGGAATCAAAGAAGATATATAATAACCAAGGGTAAGGGTCAGAAACGGGCCACCGGTCCTGTCCACTCAACAATGGCCCGTGCTGACAATGCCCATGGATGAAAAGTCCAATTCTAATTGACCTATCGGGTCGATGCTATAATGGACTTTTTATTAATAATATAATAAATTTTATTTTATCGTATTCAGCTCCCATAACATTTGACAATTCTTTTTTCTCTTTTTTCCAATTGAGTAAGATGATTTTTATTAATCAAAAATAATTCATATATTATACCCCATTTACAATACTCACCCAAAATCAATTGAAAATAACATGGGAGGACCCAAAAAAAAAAAAAAACAACTGCTCTTGGTCAATAGGTTTTGCTATTTATTTATTTATTTCTTCTGTTGGGCACTTAGTTTATTGATGGATTGTGGCAACTAAATGCATTTGAGTGGATGCAGAATTCTCAAAAGGGAGAGATGGGGATCACATTAGTAACTCATTGGTTTCTGCCAAAACTTAAAACAAAAGAAGGCCTCAAGGCTCCCTACAGGGCTCTCGACTTTTGGTTAGGATGGTAAGTGTCACCTCTCAACCTATTAACATCCACGTGGTCACTTTCGTTAGTTATTTTAAACTGTCCTCAGACTATTTTAAACTTTAGAATGATTGCTTTATGGTCATATTTGATTTGGTCACAATGAGATTGATTGCATAATTGATTCTAATCTAATTCATACCGATTATAGTACTTGATTGACCACTTTATCTAATCCTGGATATATCATGCTTGATTCAAAGTCAAAGATAAGGTATTGATCCATTTCCCTTTTACTGATTCTATGTTTGGATGTCGGATTAATATGTGATACTATGTTAAGAAAGCAAAATACCCCTACATGAATACATGATTATTTGCTATATAGGGTTACTCTAGTCATTTTTTATATTAACACCAATCATGTCTCGTATAATGCCACATATTATATTTTATTAGTTATATTAAAAATGAGATATTAAATGAAACTTCAGCATAGACCAGTATTAAGAGAGGAGATCCAAACATAGTATTAAGTTACCATTTGACTAATTCAGTCTGATCTCATCCTTTAATACCCAAACCAAAAACGACATATCTATGTAAAAGACCTAATCCTGTTTTTGTTTTCCCGGAATTTTTGCAGGTTTCTGCACCCAATTACTTATGGTGACTACCCACCAAGCATGAGATCGAATGTGGGGAACCGATTGCCCAAATTCTCTATGGAGCAATCCAAGATGTTATCAATTGATTTCTTGGGCATAAATTACTATACCTGTAATTATGCTTCTCCGATGCTCTCAGTCAATAGAGTTAACCTCAGCTACACAACAGACAATCATCTTGATCTTACCAGTAAGTCTTTAAATGGGAAAAAAGGAACATATAATTCATGCATGTGTTTAGGAGTTTACTTTTATTGACAATGATTTTTTTTTTTAATCAAGTTTTCACTAAATGTTTGCGTAATAACGTTCTTATTTGGTTCAGCGGAGAAGGATGGGAAACCTATTGGTCAACCGGTACCCCTCTCTCTCTCTCTCTCTCTAACCTATTCATATATGTGTGTTTTGAGTCGTTCAATATTTGGATCATATTATTTTGGTTCAAGTCAAAAAAAATAACTCAGGAAACCAAAATCCTAAAACTAAGACCCCCTTTTCTCTGAAGCAAATTCACTATGCATATTTGATCAAGAAGTATTGGAAGGAAATAACAAAAATTAGACATTTTTTTTTAAATATAGAATATAAGTTAAAGTGTTTGTTGAGTCAAAATCGAGTTGTTTGGATTGCACACTAACTCAATACGTCTATAACTAATGGGATGATGACGATCTTAAAATCATGATGTAGTATTGAAGTCTAATCATTTAACCGTTCATGTTGAAAATTGTTAACCTTTACCTGTTTTCCAACGAAGCTCATACTTCACAACCAACATCAACAGAGATATATTATAGACATAAGATTGCATTATAAACAAGAAAAAAAAAAGAGAAGATTATCACAAATAAATTTTTATGATGGTATGAACTACTTTTGAGTTTTGTGCTCAAAAATAATTTTTTTGATGCCACTGCATAAAAATTAATTTTAATTGGTACTTTATAAATAAAAACTTATCATTGACAATGACCATTAAATAACCCTATTGAATTAAATTTTTGTCTGATATTGTTGGTCCCCTCAAGATAAAATCTTGGTTCCGTCCCTGATCATCAATGATGAATTACGGAGTCTAACTATAATGTTTTGCAGACTGCTTTGAGTTGGCTTTTCTTTTGTCCAAGGGGAATTCGAGATCTCATGCTCTACATAAAAAAGAAGTACAACAATCCAGCTATTTACATCACTGAGAATGGTAAAATCACCAACCATTTAAAGACCTTTATCTCATAGATGACTTATTTTTGAATTAAAATTCTCTCCGTTACACTCAATACTAGAACACTTCTATCATTAATACAAGTGGGATCCACTATTTACAAGTGGACCCCTCACTCATACAATGTGAATGGGTAATCTAGTATTGAGTGACAGTATAATAGAAAAGATCTGAATTCTATTTTTTGAGGTATAATACTTATCTGTTGCTGATTTACAGGGATGGCAGATCAGAACAATAGTTCACTGCCTATTAAAAAAGCCATAAAAGATGAGTTGAGGATAAAGTATTACCAAGGGCACTTTAAGTATCTTCAACAAGCTATCAAGTGAGTGTTTTCAGCTAATAATGCTATACAACACTTTTGCACTTTGGTAAACTACTAGCACAAAGCATGCATGAGTTTAGGAAAAAACAGTTTTAGGTGCAACCTAAAAAATGTTAGTAAGGTTTTAAAAAAAAATCTCCAAGTACACCTTTAAGCCTCGGTATTGGGCCCGTGACAGATGGTGTGGGCCAAAAGTCCAATGATCCATAAGAATATGGGTCTACCAAAGCTGTCACATGGCATTTTGTGGGCACTCCAATATTCCAATCAAAGGGCCTTGATACGTGAATAATGTTTTGGGCCAGTTACAAACGACTAGTTGGCCCGATAAAGGCTTATAATGGTGGGCCTTTTGATAGGCCCGCCCATCACATGGCTTATAAACCTATCAATGAGGATGAACACGATAGGCAAGCTATGTGTCACATTTCTGGCCCACTCTGTTAGGCGCTGGTTGGGCCAACCTGATGGGCAGTTAGGCTTGATCCTGCCCATTCCCAACCCTTATCACCAAATACACTGTTCAAAAGGTATAAAAGAGTACTCTCTCTCTCTCTCTCTCTCTCAAGCTGTGTTTTTGCAGGAAGGGAGCAAATGTAAAGGGACACTTTGTGTGGTCATTCCTTGATGACTTTGAATGGGATGCTGGTTTCACCGTCCGTTTTGGTCTCACCTACATAGATTACAAAGACAACTTGAAAAGATACCTCAAACTCTCAGCTTTTTGGTTTAAGAAATTCCTCCAGAAATCAACTCAATGATGAGTCTTTATTGTTAGAGAGATAAAACTGGAGTATGTGAAGCTAAAGCTGAAAATTCACAGTTCATTCCTAGTTGTAGCATGCTACGTACTTCAACTTCATTTTCATCAGCTTTAATGGAAATTGATTAAATAATTCCTACACCCTTGTGGGCTGTTGTGAGTTTTATTATATTATCTCTTTTTCGGATTAATAAAATTATTTATCTTTTGGAACACTACCTTTATTCACATTTATTGTATTATCTCATTAAATGGAACATGTCTTATTTTAATTTTTTTTATGACTCCATTGATTTGTTTTAAAGGTGTCAAAATGTGACACGATCCGTTAACACGACACAACATTATAGGGTTTGATTCTTCCTTAAGTTACCCGTTAAATAAATAAGTGGACCTAACATGATACGATTAATAAATAAATCGGGTATGAATGAAAATAATAAGAAGAATTACACGACATGAATTATTTATAGATCAGTTATACATGGTTCATATAAGATATAACACAATTCGTTAGTCACAAAATAATAAATAAATCAAATATGAGTAGAGTATCTTTTAAATGAAAATTTTCATAATATGGCGGTATTTTGATCATGGTTTGTTTTTATGTTGCTTATGCAATCAAAATACTTTAAAGCACATATAAAGGAGCCAAAAAATAAAGATAACCCAGTCAATGAATTCCTTGAATCTAAGGGGATGAGTTGGAATTTGGCAATAATCCGAGCTACGGGCTACTATTCAAGTTCGAGGAAGTAGTCGACGCAAATTTAAACACCCTGTAAAAAAAAAACTGTGTGAATTTTAAAAAAACTAGAGCAATGGGGTCAGTAACTTTCTCAAATTTAGACTCTACGTTGTAGCCGGGAATATGTACTTATTGAAACAAATTATGATCAAATCAGATTATATATTGTGCCGTACCACTATCCAGCAATACATTATACTTGCTACATTCTAAGTTCTTTCTGCATTTCAAAAATCCAAATTAATTTATAAAATCAGATGTATATTGTAGTGTATATATTTTCTCCATTCACGACCCTTCCACTTTGTCTTCCAAGTTTACACGTTTTATTTCGTAACAAACTCATCTTCATAAACTAATGTGAGTCGTGATGATCAATCTAACGAAAAATATATTAACGATAATATTATTATCACGTACTTTTTAAATTAAAAAAATATATAATTTACTATTAATCTGTCGTGCACTTTTAATTGAGTGCAACAAGCAACCTCGAAATGATCAACAACCCTACTAGATTATTTATACATTAGGCAATTTGATTTTATTCGGGCCCTATGTGGGGTAATTGATTGATCATGAGGGGTAGACATTGAAATATAGTGATAGATACGTATATGTAAAATTTCACGCCTCGAGCCTAACCACATGTAGGCTCTTGGAGCATCTTTAATCTTTATTAAAACTCTTACTGAAATTTAAATTTGAAAAAAAAATAAACTAAAAACAATCTCCAGTTATTTACTCAAACTGTTACCAAATGAATAGAAATTCAAATTTTTATTTAAATCTTGAACAGTTAGATTTTAATCTATTTTAACGATTTAATGGTCATATTTTATTCTTCTTTTGAATTTGTTTTCATTTAAATTTAAATTTTTTCGTTAGAGCATATGTATTAAATCAAATTTTTTACTCTAATATTAATTCAAACTTAAGTAAATAGCATGGATTTCCTTGTCACTTTTCAATTTTGAATTGTTATAATTATTCTACCTATATAATATAATAAAATAACTTACAATTCAAATTTCAAAAGATAAACAAAATGATTTTTGTTATTCGTAGTTCAAATCATTTTAAATTTTACTTTAAAGTTAATTTAACGGCTATATATTAATACCCTAAATTTAATATGAAAAATAGACCCTAATGGTGTGTTTGAAATGACTTTTTAAAAGTATTTTTAGAAATTATTTTTTATAAGTACTTTAAAAAAAATAGTGTTTGAAACCGCTCCACCACAACCATCGCCGCCCCTATCACCATAACTGCCGCCGTCACTGCCACCACCAGCATTGTTGTCGCCACCGCCACCCCTACCACCACCATCGTTGCTGTCAGTGTCACCATCACCACCGTCGCCGTAGCTGTCAGTGTCACCATCACCACCGTCGCCGTCACCACCAACACCATCGCCGCTGTCACTACTACTGTCGTCGCCACTGTCATCGCCACCACTACCTTCGCCTCCACTGCCACCACCACCATCGTCGTTGCCGTCACCACCACCACCATTGTCATTGCCACTACCACCACAACCGTAACCATCTCCTACCACCACCTTCGCCGCCACCATCACTACCACCACGATCATTGTCAACCACCACAACGATCACCGTCTCCTACCACTGCCACTGTTGTCCACCATCTCTTACCTTTATTACAAACCGATGCTTAAATTCATTTATCTCTTTTTCTATGTTTGTAATTTGATTTTGGATATGAACATAAATATGTTTATAATAAAGTAGCTTACAATTCAAATTTCAAAAGATAAATAAAATGATTTTTGTTTTTCGCGGTTTAGATAACTTTAAATTTTATTTTAAAATTAATCTAACAATTAATATTAATAATCTAAATTTAATAGAAAAAAATGGCCATAAGAATATGTGTGGAGTGATTTTTTAAAAGTACTTTTAAGAATTATTTTTTATAAGTATTTTTTTTAAAAAATAGTGTTTGAAACCATGTCACCACTACTTCTACCACCACCGCTGCCACCACCACCCACCGTTACAACCGCCACCAACACCACCGCCACCGTCGTCGTCGCCGCCGCCCCCACCACCACCACCACTGTTACTGCTGCCACCATCGTCCCCGCTATTGGCACCGTCGTCGCCGCTGTTGCCACTGTCGTCGTCGCCACCACCACCACCACCACCGCCTCCATCACCACCACCACCATCTCCACAACCACCGTCACCACGGTCATTGCCACCTTCCACCACTATCACTGTCTTTTACCTCCACAATTGCCACTCACCACCTCTCACCTTTACTACAACTGATACTTAAATTTATTTATCTTTTCTTTNCTTCCACCACCATCACTGTCTCTTACCTCCACAATTGCCACTCACCACCTCTCACCTTTACTACAACTGATACTTAAATTTATTTATCTCTTCTTTATGTTTGTGATTTGATTTTAGATATAAATACAAATATGTTTATTGTTTACTATTTTTTATTACACTGTGCTTTCAAGCACAGACAATAACTAGCCNATTTTGGATATAAATACAAATATGTTTATTATTTACTATTTTTTATTACTCTGTGCTTTCAAGCACAAACAATAACTAGTCGTTCAATAAAAGAGTAATGCTATTCAGATGTCACGATGTGGACTAACAAATGTACTTATGGATTCAAAACTACAAACCATGATCGGAACCAGCTCATTACAAAATCATGTCTGCATAACGGTGTATATATTTTCTTCATCCATTTTCGAGTTTGCACGTCCAATTTTGATATGGATTTCATCTTCATAAACACGTGAATCGCGATGATCTATCCAATGTCAATAACATTACTATTATCTGATCTTAAAAAATCCAAATAGATTATTTATATTCTGTCGTGTTGATCATGATGTAGTTACTGTCCAAAGATTGCAGAGTATAGCTAATCAGAGATTTTCAAAGTGCTGGTAGTATTTCGCTACCAATACCAAGATGTTGGGTGATGGATTCAAGAAATTAGTGCAGCAAGCAACCTCTGGATGAGAAATATTTTTAAAAGTTTCAAAACTATGCAGTCATATCTTTTTTTAGAATTTAGGAAAATTACACTTTGAACACCCGAGTTAGGGCTCTGATCTCACTTTATACGTTTTTTTTTTCACTTTACACTATCAACTATTAAGATTCTCACATTATCTTCTGAACTAATTGAATTAATTTCTCACTCTTCATAGCCAAACAACCGGAATGTTTTCGATGAAAATTGCCCAGCACGCGCGGTTCTAATATTCACATATAAGTGAAGGAATGTGAAACCAATAAAAATAACCGAAAGTGCAATGTGATAAATGTGATAGCTAAGGGGGTAATATAATACAAGGATAGTTAAGGGGTCCCAAGAGCAATTTTTCCTTCGACTTGTGTAGAGGATTTCGTCATTTTGCACTCTATTTAAGAGAGTGCTGAGGAAGACCAGAACTCATAGTTAGCCATGGCAGTTCAAAGCTCTCTTTTACTGGTTGTCCTAGTCAACTTGTTGGCTCTTGGGATAGCAAGTAGTGTTTCGCCTTCATTTAATTACACTAGTTTCCCCCCTGGTTTTGTATTCGGAGCAGCCTCCGCTGCCTACCAGGTACAGTCTTGGTCTTTATCTTTTTAGCTCCAAAAGGATATGTTAAACACAGATTTTGCTTGCCTAACTCTCAAGTCGGTACTATATTTTTATCTTAAATATACAATTATATCATAAACCGAGTAGTTGGCGTACACGGAATTTTTTTGCTTAGTGCTTAAGTTTAACTCTTCATAATTACGGCAATTCGGTGGAGTAAATATATTCTTCAATTTGCAGAGCTCGCGGTAGAACTTTAACTTTGGTGCCAACGTAAGTGCGGTGAGATTTTTAGCAGATATTTTTGTGGTGCCGAGAGACAAAACAATGCTCCTTAATGGATATATAGAGTGATCTATCTATATATCTATTTAAACACCAAAAAATAAAAATTAATATTATAATGAAACTCAAAACACGGTTTGAACGCACACCAAGTAATTCTTATTAGTCAAGAAGTCGTCACAACTTTATCAAATGCAAAGTTTAACTCAAAGCAAGTGTCATTAGAGAAGAGTTCGACACAACATAATTTGTTTAACGATGAAACTCTACAGAATAGGTTTTTAACAATTCGTTTCACAAATGGTTTGGAGAACTAGCCCGTTTAAAGAGATTGAACAATAATAGGGAGGCAAAATGTGAGATTATTTTGAAACTAAGAAAGTGAGCTTTCCATGAGCTTATTTTTGTACGAGACTATGCAAAAAATAATGCATGCATTGCACTTTTTTTTTCTTTAATGTGTTACGTTTTTGATTTTGCAGTATGAAGGAGCAGTAAAAGAAGGTGGTAGAGGCCCCAGTGTATGGGACACCTTCACCCACAAATATCCAGGTTTCCCTCTCCTCCCCCTCCCNTGTTACGTTTTTGATTTTGCAGTATGAAGGAGCAGTAAAAGAAGGTGGTAGAGGCCTCAGTGTATGGGACACCTTCACCCACAAATATCCAGGTTTCCCTCTCCTCCCTCTCCCTCTCTCTCTCTCTCTCTCTCTCACACACACACACACACACAGACAAACACACAGATACACAGTGTATTTTGCTGGTATTTTTCTTGAGTTAATCTCACTTTGTACCCTAAAAGATGTTTGAAATCTCAAATTTCACCCACTTTTTTATACTTTTTTTTGGGGTGGGGAGGAGGATAGGGAAGGGGATACAATTTGAACCTGCAATCACCAACGGGCAAAATTGGGCCCTTGTTTGAAATCTCAAATTACACCCTCAATATCATGAAAAAATTGCGATGTGATTCAAAAACAAATTGTTATTCACCTCTCACGCAAAATGCAACTTATTGTCTTGTTTGCATTTAGTGATGGAGTTTGCTATAGTGGGGTCTGGGGGGTTTGGGTCCCCCAGATCCCACAAATTAAAATTTAACCATCAAGTTACTTGTTTTCTCCTTTGGATATGGAAACAACATAGATATGTTCTCAGAACCATTATTAGTTGCATGAATTGATTGGTATAACAAGTTCTTGAACACTTGGGATTTTGAAAATTTAGTGTGGTTTTACCAAGCATTGCAGAATTGAATAAACAATAAGTCACATATCATATCTTTCATCCAAGCTAATTTTATAACTTTGCTTGCAAATAAAATTGGTACCAGAATTGAATTCCATCAAGCTAAACTAAAAAACTTTATCCCTATGAATTATCATAGATAGCACCAGGATAAAGTTCTTCAATGGTGTTTTATTGTTTCTTAGAACATCAGAACAAATGGAGAAGGGAAGAAAATAATTCTTTGTTATACATGCGCACGCGCACACACATACACACATATGTAATATACCAAAAACTATTCAATAGTATTGCTATCCAATTCATGTAAAGAAACCCTAACAGACTGAAATTGGCTCGAAATCCAAGCCTAACATTTGAAATTACAAAAGTACCAAAAATTCCGAAATAAATAGAAATTGTGCAAAACGTAGCCGAATTGATGCTTTTGGGCCGAAAAATGATGAGTAGAACTCACTGAGAAGTTGCAGGAATGGGTCGACCACTCAGGAAGGGGTTTTGAATAATTTTCTAGCTCTGTGGCAGTAATCTGCCTCAATAAGCACCCATTCTTTTGATTTCGGTCTATGACGTAGTTTTCTACTGTATGTGATGCGTCAGTAAGACAATCTTTGCCAAATGCGATTATCATAATATACAATACATGGTATTGTTACCTTTAATCTAAGTCAATGTTCTTATTGCTTTTTTCCTTCTGGGAGGGGGGCGTTATCATCGNCAATACATGGTATTGTTACCTTTAATCTAAGTCAATGTTCTTATTGCTTTTTTCCTTCTGGGAGGGGGGGCGTTCGTATGGCAATGTTTTTCAAAGTGGCAATCTTTTTCAAAGTGGCAATCTTTTTGTAATAACTTGATTGATTTATAGGTAAAATATTGAATAGGAGCAACGGCGATGTAGCGGACGACTTTTATCATTGTTACGAGGTATGTGATTATGTACCTACAAGGGTAGGTCATGCACATGAATGGTGATTCTCATTGATGGAGTTTCAATATAACTTTCTGTTATATCATATTTTATCTTAGTTTTTGCAATAAACCCGATTGCAAATGTGTGACAGGGAGACATACAACTGATGAAAAAGATAGGATTGGGTGGTTTCAGATTCTCCATCTCCTGGTCAAGAGTGTTACCTAGTAAGAAAATTATTTTTACTAATCTCTTTAATAAGATAGCCACTAATGCTCTATTAACAATTTAACATGATACATTTTTATCGGTACAAATGTACTATTGACTTCATTGATAAACAAAATTGAAAATTTTCGTGGCAAACCTTTGTGTATAGCTCATACTAGTTTCTTTAGTTTCCTCTGTGGAATAGTTAACATGTGCTTACATGTTTTTGGGCTATGAATACTACTAAGATTTTGAGTCAAATGAAGTTGACCTTAAACTTGACAAAAAAACTTATCATCAAGCTCCGAATTTTTACCCTAATCTTTGTATATAATCTTATACTCGTTTCTTACTTTTTCTAATATCCGATTGTTTTGCAAGAGAATTTAAATCAGTGACAATTTGGGTGCCCAAAAAATGATTCGTGACCAATGATCTTCGATTGATTCATTTATGGCAAGTGATAATAAAAATAATAANTTTAAATCAGTGACAATTTGGGTGCCCAAAAAATGATTCGTGACCAATGATCTTCGGTTGATTCATTTATGGCAAGTGATTATAAAAATAATAAAAAAATCAAAATAAAAAATAATAAAATTTTACAAGGAGCACATTTTTATTGGTTCAGAAGAGCAGACATATATTTGATTCTAAAAAATAATTTTTCGATACCATAGTTGAAACCACAGTCAACTAATGTATTGTTCTTGTTGATAACTTCTTAATTGATGAGGCTAAAGTTTAAAAGTGTGTTAAAAATAATAATCTTACATTAAATAATTATTCATGGAAGAGAAACCCCTAAAAGAAGATGACTAAATTAGCAATAAAGTGTGAGACTCAACATTTCATCCATATAAGGTATGTTGTCAACTTTTGTATACTTGTTATCATAATATAATACTTGTAATCTTTTTTAAATTGACACTCATGAGACAAGTATGACGTTGATTTTGACTGGGCATGATTGATCCTGCAAGTTATTTATCAGTCTACCTTTTATTACAATTTTTTTACTAGAATATTACAGTTTCAAGTTTATTTACAAAACTATAGTTATTTTTACTTTTTTACTAAAGTTGTGTTTTGGGAACACGCTTTCAATTAAAAAAACCTTGAAAGTGTTTTTTCTGAAACATAACTTCAGTGGCAAAACGTATTTTCGAAACACGACTTAAATAAAAATCCCGGTAATTTGATAAATACTTTTGAAACTACTGTATTTTGATAAATAAATAAAAAAACTCGGATGAAACCGTAAAAGAATAATTGAATATTACTAGTCTTGTCACTTTGCATGATTATATATAAATATTATATACACACACACAGTTGTTTTCAATGAGTTGTTGATAAGGATGGTTAGTTGTATTCAGCCAAACGTGCAATTCTAACATTGTCTTTATATTTATGAAATAGTCGTAGTCCTCAACAAGTTGCTTAGAGGTTGAAAATTATGTGATGCAGATAAGTTAAAGTACACCTAAAAAAGGTCAGTCTGTCATCATTCTAATATTAAATGTTAAAAATTTGTTTTATTGTAATTCACTATGCTATAACTCCCTCATTGTTTGTAAACTGTGCATTGAACCCTCTATTACTTAAATTTATACATTTGTACCAATTTCAGCTGATTGAAATTTGAATGCCACTTCAAAAATTTCAAATTGAAATTAATTATTTTTGCCATCCATATTTGAATCAGTTAAAAACTCCATTTTAATCCAAAACTTCTATCCAATGTGAATAATCTAATAAGTTAATTTTTAGAAAATAATATTTGAATTTCAACTATATTTCGTCAAATAAGCACTCAATGTTATCGTGTACTTATATAATAGAGAAATAACTCAGATTAAATCATGATTTGTTCCAATATTGTTATATTCAAACCCAAATTCATATAGTATGGTATAGTGTATTCGGATCCGATATTGGATTAGAAGTAGACATAAATATGAAATATCAAGTCATATTGGACAGAATTTGCATGAAGTTACCCTATATTAGTTCAGTTTCAACGAATTTGAGCCATAATTGAGTTAGCTCATTAGACTTGCTTAATATATGAGTCATGTGAACGTTGATTTAATTTCAAAATGACACGACTACTAAATGCAATACATGGCCGTTCTTAACGCAACCCTCGGACACGATGTCACAGCATATGAAGTTAACCTTAAAGGGTTCAAATCATAAACTATTAACCTATTAAACTCACTCAATAAATATATTGTGCATAAGTTGAATGTATAACATGTTACAAGACATTAGGAAATTCCAAATAATTGTGTTACAGAAGATATTCTCTTTAGATGATTTCATTAGCTTTTCATTGTCGTTTGCATAATTGATTGTTTTTCTTGTACATCAATATGTCCAATTGTTCCATTATGTCTCCTGAAAATGCAATTTTTTTTCTTGTTTGAAAGATGGGAAGCTAAGCGGAGGTGTAAACAAGGAGGGTGTCGCCTTCTATAACAGCCTCATCAATGAGCTGCTATCAAATGGTTCTCTCTCTCTCTTGAAACAATGGTAATGTCACGCCATCATCAACGTGTTGTTTTGTTACGAAATAACAAGACAAAGAGTATATGTATATGCAACAAACTGGAATAATTACATTGCATGTGCAAATTTTGGGTATACCATGCATATATGATTTTTTTTTTTTTGTTATTTGATCGTAATATCATGTGTCACAGATAACATGATATTATTGTTATACCAAAAGTTTATGCCTCGCTTTTGGTTTTTATTTCTCTCATCTATCTTTTTTCCCTAAAATGTGTAGGTATTATACCTTTAGTGACAATTTTTCACTGGGATCTTCCCCAAGCCCTAGAAGATGAGTATGGTGGTTTTTTAAGCCCACGGATAGTAAATTTTTATACTTTTGTATTTCAGAATAAATAAATTTTGAACAACACCTAAAGAACAAATACACATTCTGAAACATGAAAGGATATGCTTATTCTATGGCACAAATTAAATTTTACAACCCGAAACATTTTACTCTAAATTTTCATAAAAAAATAACCAATAAGTCCTGTTTTTTGTTAAAAAATAATTAAATTCTAAGTTCTACTTTTCAAACAACTTCTCAAAGAAGTTGTAATTTTATTATCATTTCTCCTTTAACCTGCATATTTTTGGGTAATTTCTATTAAGCTATCAAATCTCAAAAGATAAATAAAATGACTTTTAAGATTCGCGGTTGAGATCGCTTTAAATTTTACTTTAAAGTTAATCTAACGGTTAATATTAACACCCTAAATTTAAGAGCAATGCTACATGAATTTAAAAATTAGACTTGAAAAGTAGACTTGATAATTACAACCATTGATTTCAATGTGGGTCCTAATAATGGTTGTGATTATCAAGTTTATTTTTTAAGTCTATATAGCATTACTCTAAATTTAATATAAAAAATAGGCCCCTAAAAATGTGTTTTGACTTTTTAAAAGTACTTTTAAAAATTATTTATAATAAATACTTTAAAAAAAATAATGTTTAAAACCGCTCCATCATTATCTCTACCACCACCACCACCATCGCCACCGCCACTGCCGCCGCAACCACCGCCATCACCGTCGTTGCGACCACCACCACCACCACCATCGTTGCATTCACCCCCATTGCCACTACTACCGTTGCCGCATCCACCACCGCCGTTGTCGTCGCCGTCACCACCAACATCACTACCGCCACCCCAACCATCGCCACCACTACCGCCGCCACCACCACCATCACAGTCATTGCCACCCACTGTAATCATCACCGTCTTCTACCACCACCATTGCTACCCACCTCCTCTCACCCCTCTACAAACCTATGCTTAAATTTTTTTATCTCTTCATTATGTTTGTAATTTGATTTTGAATATTAATACAAATATGTTTATTATTTACTATTTTTTATTATTGTGCCTTCAAACACATGTAATAACTAGTTTATTTATACGAATGGTAATTTAACATCATATTGTTGTGAATGGCAGGGATGATTTTCGAGATTTTGCAGAGCTATGCTTCAAAGAATTTGGTGAGAGAGTAAAGCTTTGGACCACCATTAATGAGCCATATTCATACAGCTCCCAAGGTTATGACACCGGCGCCTTTGCTCCTGGATGGTGTTCTGCTTGGATGTCCAACGGTTGCCCCACTGGCAACTCCGGCACCGAGCCTTATGTGGTTACCCACCACCTGCTCCTTGGCCACGCAGCAATTGTGAAATTGTACAAGGAGAAATACCAGGTGAGCAAGAACATCCTGGAAGTACAAATGAATCGACGAATTGAGCCGAGCACTAGGCTGTCCTAGCTTGAATCATTCACTTGCAAAGAGGTCTTGGGATCGGCTCAAAAATCTAGACAATCTTCAAACATCATGTTCTAGATCATCTGATTAAATTTTTTTTCCTAATTAAATGAACCAAGCTCGAACTTGTGTTTGAGCTTAAACTCCATTTCAGATATGCGTTCAAGATTAATATCGACTCACTTTACAAATAAACGAATTTTAATCCAAGTCGGTCCCATCTGTTCATGATCAATAAAACCCTACACAAATTCTGTCTTGTACAAGAGTAATTGAATAATCTTTTGAATATAGATTTGCTTCCTAAAGTGCTTCATAAGAAATATTACATAACACCCACCTGATGGCAATGGTGTTGTTTGTATAGGCATCTCAAAAGGGGCAGATAGGGATAGTTCTCGTCAGTCATTGGATGGTGCCCTACTCCAGTAGTAAACAGAATCATAAAGCAGCTGAACGAGCCCTCGATTTTATGCTTGGATGGTGAGCTTGATCTCAAAACTGAAATGTGTCAGTGTGGTTGAAGCGAGAAAATTTGCATAGGTTTAACACACCATGTGAGACCGTCATGTGGTGTACACAACTAATGAGAGACTGCTACAAAAACATCTTTTAATGTACACAAGTTGGGGTTTTCAACAAAAAAAAATTCGCACATTTTGGTGCTCGGAGAGACATTCTATGCACAAATTTGATCCATGGGACCATGTCACTCATGTTTTTCTTTCTCTGTCACAGGGGTTTAAAGTAATTGTATTGGCCATGGAAATGGTAACAGTAAAAACATAACAAACACATGATGTAACGAACATGGCGTAATGGAACGAAAACTGGATGCGTGGGGTTTCCTTTTTTTTCTTTTCTTTTTTTCACGCATGCACCAGTTTTCAAGTTTTGAACACATCTACATTTAAAATCTGCATCCCTAGAAATATAGGTAATTGGTTATTGATAAAATCTTTTTAGCTTTTTGCATACATGATTTCGATTCATTAAATAATGTTATCTTATTCTTTAAGTCATTAATATAGAAAATACTGACCAAATCTCATTATTCACTACTTTTGTAGGCATAAATTCAATCTAGGAATGTTTTAAATTCGAATGATGGGGTTTTCTATTGAACATCCGTTTATTAGCACCCAAAATATTCAGAAACGTGATATTTGATACTGTGATATTTGCGGTCATTATAATCGTGAATTTTCTTGACCATTATACCAGTTGGTAAGGGGATCGGATCCCTCCTATCACGTTACATCGTAGTGGGCAAATTAAAATGTTTTTAACATGTAACCAAATTATAGACTTAATTTATTATCTGAAAACTGGAATATGTTTTCATTTCAGTATATTTTCAACAGGTTTATACATCCATTGACATACGGCCATTATCCGAAAAACCATGCGTTCCCTCGTCAGAAAACGCTTACCAAACTTTACAGCTAAGGAAGCCAATGCGGTGAAAGGGTCTTTTGATTTCCTTGGAATAAATTACTATACAGGAAATTATGCATCTAATGTTCCTTCTGCAAACAGTATCAATGTCAGCTACTCAACAGATTCTCTTGCTAATCTTACAAGTAAGTTCACACACACACACACACACACACACACACACACACACACACACACACACACACATATATATATATATATATATATATTGCTGTCTTTTATATGTAAGAAAGCAAGTTTATGTTATTTTGTTATCATAAATGAGAAAATAAGTTTATGGTGATCAAAAAATTTTGTTACCGTAGAGAAAAAAGATACAACCGAATGAAACAAATTACAATAGAATGAGGGCAAAGCTAATAATCAATTAGGTCCCAAAAGTTTGAGGTCAATCCTAATAAAACTTAGGATTGATTCTGAAAAGTAAGGGTCGATCCCAAGTTTTATTGATCATTTTTGACTCGACCTCATTCAAATATAACTTAGGTTGTTTTAATTATGGCATGATTTGATTTGAAAATCACATTTGGTAGATACACAAAAAACGTATCTTAGAAAAATCCTTTATTTTGTACCTGTGTAACATATCTTTTTCTTTTCTTGTATTGTCACAGCGGTGAGATATGGAAAACCCATCGGTGCTCCGGTAAGTACTTCGTAAAAATTAAAAAAAAAAATCAAATTGTAAGAGGAAATGTTTTGACATAAAAGCAGTCTAATAAGGCACATCTATACATGACAACACCTTTGGATTTTTGGCTGTCTGCTTTAAAAAAATAATTGGATACAAATGTTTTGCAGACTGGTGTAAGTTCCTTTTTTGTCTATCCAAAAGGACTTCGAGAGCTTCTTGTCTACATAAAGGAAAAATACAACAATCCAACCCTTTACATTACCGAATGTGGTAAGACAATGACTCAATTTCTTTCGGACTGTTCATTAAACATCGATATAATTACACCTCTTGAACTATTATAAAAGTCTAGTGTGTCTCTCCATCCATTAGTGTTGTGAACATGCAATATGGTGAATAATCAAGAAAATAAGAATATTAGATTTACATGATTCGGTCGAAATCTTACTTACATCTACAAGAACAACCTTTTTTCTTGTTATTATATCAGAATTTAAAGGGTTACAATATATAAGTACCAATTAATAACCCTAATTCTAGCGTGACTTGGAAATATAGTCCTAGTAAATCTAATATATCAATTCTTGATAAACTTTCTAACTTAGTCAATTATGGTAGAATATCTCTACCAGAAGTATATTGGAAATCATTGAAAATTCACATGTACCCATTCCCTGTCGTAGGGTGGGGCACTTCTTGCCGATAGGTATTCCTTGCATCCCCCAACCTATTATTTGACCTCGACAACCAAACAATATTCTCCTGAACTGTTCCATTGAATTATGTCAAGGAACATATCCTATCCAAAAGCAAAATCAAATACTCCCTCCGTTCCTAAATATCTGTCGTTTTACACAATTTTTTTGTTCCATAATATCTGTCGTTTAATGAAACCAAAATATAATTAATATTTTTTCTTCCAAATTTTTTGACAGAAGTAACTACGTGCCATTTTTTCCGACGGTATTATATGCTCAACACATAATCGTTATATCAAAAACTTAAAAGTCCTGAAGCTTTTTTTTTTTGGGGGGGGGGGGGGTTTGAAAAGTGACTCTAGCACAGTTCTATAGTAACGGTGAGATGTTTTTTTGGCAGGGATGGGGTCAATGTGAAGGGCTTCTTCGCATGGTCATTTCTAGACACCTTTGAGTGGAACTCTGGTTACACCATGAGGTTCGGTAATGTGTATGTGACTTCACAGATGGACTGAAAAGATATATCAAATATTCAGCTCTTTGGTTCAAGAAGTTTCTCCTCAAATGATAGGAATGTTCTAAAATATAGAGTCCTACTCCTATCTGTTTGGTCATCTCCACCAATCCATTTGGATGTTTCAAATAACGAAGTTACCAACCCTACTATGTATTGCTTTTCACAATAATAAAAGTGCCATGTTTGTCCTCTCTGGCTTGTAATAATAAAGAATTTGATGAACTTCTTTCAATGGTTTTCCTTTGTAATGTATTTTGGGTGTCGGAATTCTAATAAAACTATTTGCTTTTAAGAGCACATGTTTAGTAATGGTATCACTAACCATATTCTATTGCCACACAACTCACTTTTATTTGTTCGTTATGTGTGGGGGTTGAGCATGAGGGAAACCATTAGAGTGCATGACCTAGATATGCATAATGCCATGCCTCGAGCCCAACTGCATGGGCTAGGAGCACGAGAGTCACTGCTCACCTTATCGTGGTGGCTTTAACGTGTGTGCATGTTGGGTATATGATGCAGATCAGATAACAGCACAGTATTTGAATCGATATTGGGGTGGTTTAGGCCGGTCAAATGGGTTGATGTTTTCGGAGCCACTTTCATATACATGGGTCTCAAAACACTCATGTCCTATTAGAAACGACGGGGAAAAATTAACTTGCGATGACCTAGGACAGATTTCTTTGTTTAGGGCTTGAAAAACGCATTTTTGCCCTTTTTGATAATTTTTCGTAGTTGAATAATTTTAACGTCTTAGGTCACGTTTTATCATTTCCAAACTTGTTTAGGGTTTCTTGCACTATTTATGCTCTTGTAAATTAATACAATTGAGAGAGTTTTCCCTTTTATTTTCAATTCTTCTTGTATTCTTAAGAATCAAAAAAGTTATTGAATCCTTTAGAACTAGTATTTTCTTATAAATCAAGAGACCTAGAGTACGGATATAAACTGGTGTTTGTGCACGAATCAACAATTTATTTTCATTAATTATCTCCTTTCGTTCAATATACCATTGTTTTTATCCGCTTCCCTACATCAGTATACATAAGCTAATTAGGTCACCAAAAACACAACAATGGTTGATTTCTGCTATAGTGTATCACACTACATTCAACACAAAGTCAAGCATGAACAAGTGACAAAAAAATATGCTGCAATAAACTACACAATTTCACTTGAAAAACACCTCTATATTTCATAAAAAGTTAGTACAATATGAAGCAATAAAGTTCAATTTGATTTGGGGGACAACTGATGCGGGAAAATTATGCTTATCATAATAATGATGGATGACTGAGATAATCACATCTTTGAAGATTGAAATAAAGTTCAATTTGATTATGATAACAAACATTATCCTCTTAACAAATTGGTAAGGGGGACAGGAGTTCAATTCTACTTGGACACAAACTCTTTCACACCAACTGGGGGACTCAGCTCAAGTCCGCTAGCTCTCCTAGCTCGGCCAATAGCTCCCCTAGTTTGCCTAACAGCTGTCCTCCCTCGGTCAGCAGCTCCTCTAGCTCGACTAACAGCTCCACTAACTCAGTCAACAGCTTCTCTAGCTCAACAACTTAGTCCAGTCATATCTGCTGTAAGACACTTAGATTTAGATAAGATCAAATCAAGAGAAAGAAGAGCACCTAAACTCTAACGATATCAGGTGTAAGAGGCAAAAAATCGAGAATACCTCCTACTGGAATTGAAAAATTGATATGCTTCTGAACTTGATCTCCTAGTCTTCCTTTACCTACTAAACGAACAAACTATCCAAGATCGAAGTGCTTTGATCGAAGACACTCCGATGCTTAAGTCAGTAAAGGTATTCAAACGAATGGAAGAAGACAAGGAAGGTTCAGCGTACCTTTCTTCTTGGCTCATTTTGCTTTTTATAGTTGGACATCCCCTTAGGGTTTCCGTAATTCTTGATTCAAGGTGGCACACCTTCCTTTAATTCAGTGATTTGGTTTGGGAAGTTGCTAATATTTCTCCATTATTTTCTCCTGATATCTTCAATTTCTCTGATTCGCTTATCTGATTGCCTAAGTTATAGGCGAATCTCTATCCTTCTGTTTATTATTTAAAACAGCTCGAACATATTGAATGTTGAGCACACTTGATATTTGCTGAACAAATTAAGGGACTTGATTTGGCACAAATCGATCTCTTCAATTGCCTTGCCGAACACTTTAACGGACTCAGCTTGGTACACGCTGAGCTCTTTAATTGCTAAGCTGAACAGACTGATGAGTTCGGTTATAAAGAGAGTCGATCTTTTCTTGCCATTGTCGAACCTCTAATTAACTCGGCTTGGTTAAAAAGCTCTAATAAAATATTCTTGATCACGTTCCTTGTCTTGTCAACATCACGTGAGCATATTTAATGTCATGTCACGTGTAATCATGAGGTTTAACCCCTTCATTTGCCCCTAAAAAATGTTTGATAGACGCTTTTTGGTTGTTAGTTGTTTTCTTATTGATTCATCATCACTTGTACTTTGTAACATGTCTTTTCGTTTTGACGGCACATTCAGAGCATTTAAATGTTGCCCTTTAAAATTTCTCCTTCTTTATAACCGTCTTCCTTGGAATTTTTGCTTTTCTGCTACCAGACTCTCAAATTCTTATCCTCTTCTTTCTGTATTTTTCCTCCTCTGCACTTCATCTTCTTCATGGCTCCTCTTACCCCATCAGAAGTCCCTGCCTTCAAAGTGAAGTACAACATTCCAGATGACGTCGAGGTTAGAGTTGCCAGGAAAGATGAGCCACTGATTGGTACCAGAGAGAGAATCCTCATCCCCACTCGTGCCATCACTGAGGGTGAAATCCGTTTTCCCCTCGATCCTTTTCTTCTCTGGGTTCTCTCTGTCACAAAACTCTGTCCCCTCCAATGCTGCCTCAATTTCTTTAGGATAGTCATGGGGGTGTCTGCGTTGAACAAAATCTTAGGTCTGAGTCTTGGTTTATGGGATATCCTGTACTGCTATATCATCAAAGCTGCTGGAGATATCTATTATCTTTCGGTGAGGAAGAAGGATCGCTATCTAGTCACCCATCTTCCAGATTCAAACAAAGGTCATGAAAATGACATTGTGTTCGATTCTGGGAATTGGGAATACCCTGCTGGAGCCTCATTTTCTTATCGCTGCTCTTATGAAGAAGGCGCACCAGGTACTTGAATCTTCTTTTTCCTCAACAAATATTCATTGTATTTTTTTTTTATATCTGATACATTGCTTATGTAGGAGAAATAGTGAAAGACAAGATTCCTGAGTCTTCTGTTAAGTTTGACCAACTTCAGAAGGTTTGGGATTTCAACGAGTCCTTATTCTGTCGTGCTGCCCATTCACTGCTTGAAAACACACCAAACTACACATCTTTTATTGTTGTGCCGAACCGACCCAATGTGACGCTTACAGCAGATCGGGAGGCCATACAAGCTGCTTGGGATAAGATGCCCCGAGGAAAAAAGAGACCTTCTCTAGCAGCCTCCAGACGAAGGACTGTAAGGAATTTCTTAGCCTTTTTGTCAACAGTTGAGCCGACTCCTTCAACCGAACCGACTCCAACTGCTTCAACCATTCTGATTTCTATTCTTGACGAACCAACTGCCGAGGCCCTTCCCGAGGTGATTCTTTCTGAAGCCAATGATGTAGGTCTGCCTTTGGATGACCAAGCAAATTTGGCTCCTGCTGCTGAAACTTCTGTTTATGTTGAGATAGATCCTTCATCACCTATTCCCTCTCCTGTTCAAGAAGATAACTCAATCTTTGAGCTCACAGAAGACCCAGCCCCTAAAAGGCGGAGGACAGCCGAGTCCGAAGTGAACCTTCCTCCCGAGCCTACCAATCCTCTCTTTCGACCAGTTCTTAGAGCAAAAAAGAGGGAAATTACTGCCAAGGACTCTGCAATAGAAGATTTTAATGTTGCAGTAGGAATTGCCCGATGAGTGATTTTGCCTAGGGATCTGGCAATGAATAAGGCTCTTACTGACGATGAAGTGTCTCGTCAAGCAATTCAACATATGGTCTTGGTAAGCCTTGAATCTGACTTCCTTTAAGTTCTTTACTCTTTCTAAAAATTTTCGAAGTCTTTTTCCTCCTTAATAAGGGTCTTCAAAAATTCCATGAGGTCAGTGCTCGAATAGCTCAGAAAGACAAGGCAATGAAAGTCGTCATCCATGCCCAAGCTTCGGCTCTGGCCAAGAAGGAGAGTGTGGATGAATAGTATGCAAAGCTTTGCGAAGAAGTGAAGGTTCTGCAGGCTCAAAATCAAAGCCTGACAGAAGTGACCCAGAAGCTTTCTTCGGAGGTTGAGAAGCTGAAGGAGTCAAAGCGTGAAGTCAGCGTAGAACTTTCTCAATCCTAACTTGACTACTCCACGCTCCTTGAGGAATTTGGTTAGTACAAGGCCGAGGCTAAAGAGAAAGAAGATGTTGCATACAATGAAGGAATGGAGAAAATTGAGGATGACTTAGCTCTTCAGATCTCTTAGCTCCAAATGGCATTCTTCAACAGAGGCTGGCAGGCTACATTGAATGCAGCCAAGGTTGATCCTTCCTCTGAACTCTTTTCAAGGCATACAGCTTCGAGCTCCTCCTATCCTCATGCTCCTTCAAACACTTAGAAGACTTTTTTGAATGTTTTGAAATTTCTGATGTATCTGCAACTCTGATGTACTTGTCAAATGATCATGACTTTGTAGAAAATTTTTGAAGTATGAATCCAAAACACTCTTTGGCCTTTAAATTTCTGTAATTTGTGATACGCTATGAGAAAATTGAAATCTAAGTCCTATTTTCTTTTCAACTCTTAAGTTATGGCATTTGTTCGGTCTTTCTTCGAAAAGTTCAGTCCCTTAGCAGGGATCCTTTATACTTGGAAAAAATTTATGTAGCTCCAGAAGTTTTGGCCATTGCTTGGCCTTACTTCAAAGAGCTCGGTTCCTTAGCAGGAACCTTTTTATACTTAGAAAAAATTTCAAGCCTCTTCGAAATCTTGGCCATTTTTCAAAGAGCTCAGTTCCCTAGCATGAACCTTTTTATACTTAAAAAAAATTTCAAGCCTCTTTGAAATCTTGGCCCTTGCTCGGCCTTTTTTCAAAGAGCTCGGTTCCTTAGCAGGAACATTTTTATACTTAGAATCTCACCGAGGTACTACCATACAGCGCAGTGGAAACACAAGTTCCTAGGGGTACAGAAGTGGCCGCATCAATGTCAGACTCTGAGATAATGGAGGCAATGGCCTCTGTGGCACGCTTCCCATCGATAATAAGAGAATTTTTAGACTTTAAGAAGACCCATTTGCTTGTCATGAGAGGTTGGGAGGTCTCCTTGGTTGATGCAGAAGCAGCACAACCAGGGAAAGTGCGAGCAGTGTCCAGGGCCCTCTCAACTTCAGATGCAAAAGGGGAGGACTGGTCTCGTCCAGGAGCATCTTTAGTAGCAGGTCGGGTCTCTTGGGAGAGAGGAAGTCCTGAGGTTGGTGAAGCATGTAGGGGGGATGGTGGAGCCTTCTGGATAGAGGTAGAGGCAGAGGAAGTACCCATTTTCTGAACCTTAGCTCGAGTAACTGGGCTCCCACCAGAACTACCCTCAGCCTTGCGCTTAGTACCACCCTTATTTTTCTTCTTCAATAGCTCTACCTTAGCTTGGAGCATCTCAAGGATAGGCTTCATTGTAGAAGACCCTGGGAGATTTGGCTTGAGCTGGTTAGTCAAAAGGAAAAAAAAATGGAGGAAAGCAATAAACCAAATAAGGGAAAGAGCATTACCTTCTATGTCCTCAGGTCAGATAAAGGAAAGTGGGATTAGAGGAAGGCCGAATCCCTGCCTTTCTAATTCCCAGGGCTTAAGGAGCTCAGAGTACCTCTCTGGATTACATTCAGCCAACTTCAGTTTCACCCGCTTGTCCTCGGCGTTAAGTTCAAGTCGAATGCCTAAGAAAGGGGGAACACCAAAAATGCAGAGGTCGGGAAAACAACTCATAAATCTTCAAACTCCAGTTCAGTCAGGCAAGAACTCACCTAAGTTATCTGGGGCTGACCAGGCTTTAGGAATCCCAAGAGTGTCTGTTTTATCAGCAGGGTTGTATTCTCAGTTGACACCCCCAACGAAAAAAAAATTCTTTTTTCAGCCTTTATGAAAACTCGGGAGGTGTGTGATGATCTGCCTAGACGAGGTCTGCCTAGAAACATATAGAAATCCCTCAGTTGAGGTAAGATTGACATTGAAAAGGTCCATAAGCAGAGAAATGGTGGGAGTCTCAAGCTTATGCTTCTTAAAGAAAACTAAAAGACCCACTAAAACACCCCAGAAGTTAGGAGAAGGCTGAGTAGGGTAGACATTGAGGTGCTGCAGAACATTTTTGATAAAGGGATGCATAGGGAAACGAAGTTCATTCTCGAAAGTGGCCACAAAGAAACAAACTCTTTTGTGCACTTGGGCAACGTATAAAGTGAGTTTATCTGGGCACCAGGGCTGAACACCATGGGAAAAATCAAAATGAGCACTAAAAGCTTCTATGAGAATAGGATCCACCCCACCGGGACCCACGAGCTCAGCATGCCTAAAGGCAGCCCCCATACCCGCTATACTATCAGGTATCCCAACCTCACTCACCTTACCCTTACCCTTGTCAGCACTAGGAGATACATGAGAGGAAGATGAGGGGAGTTCCTTGGAGTCCACCTCGGTATCGACAGCCACAACACCGAGAAAGTTGTCAATCTCATCACCTACATCCCTTAAATCAGAATCTCTCTCAACAGACCTATCGCCTAGGAGGGAAACAGAGGAGGGAGTTACTCTAGAGGAGGCAGACATGATTGGCAAAGAGAAAGGCAAAGAGAAAGAATTATAAAAAGGAGGAATATTAACTAAACATCCTCTGATAATTCTAGGGTCAGCATTGTACCTCCCGATAGTAAACATTCGCACAGTGGAGTTCCAATCCACAAAGCAGGGAAGAGGAGATAAACAACGATCGCGATTCCAAAAGAAAAAGAATCGAAAAACCCAGAAAAATAATAGCCACCTCGAAGTTGAGGGATCCAAAGTGAGGAAAGGCACGAGAAAGAGAAAGGGGCAGAATGAAGCGTACCTAGACAGGGAAGAGAATAACAAACAACAGCCAAATAACAAAATTGGAGGAGAAGAACAAAGCAGGACTTCGAGTCGAACCCAGAAAGCACAGTCTAGAGCAGAGAATAAGGGAATCACGTGGAGGAAAGCCCAGAAATCACAAAGAGAAAGAGCTAGAGACGAAGTTGAACAGCGTAGAAGATGAACGGTGGTTTTGTACGTTTTCTTTTAGCCGTTTTGAGCATTTAAGGCTTGAAAGACATGGGATGAGGCGTGCGCGGGAACCAAGGGAGCCATGATTGTTGTCACCGTCAAAAAGCCCCTCCCACGTGCATCTCACATGTAGGCTAAGGTCAGCTAGGCGCAGGTCTGGTCCAAGGTAAAAGCAGTTCAGCGCATACACAAGCTCACTTAGGCCAAGGGTTGGGAGGGCAATTGATGATACCTCAAAATAAATCCTAAATGTCAGCTAAGGAGATCAGCTCAGTCTAGGAGGTTAGACTAGACGAACAGAACTTGGAAGAGTAGAGCTGGAGGTCCCTTTGAGATAAGCAAGGGCAATAACAACCAAGGCAACAACTGGAAGATCACAGGAGGTTCCTAAAAGCGTTAGGAAGCTATAATCAAGGCACCTAATCTCAACCAACCAAGATCTTCTCTTAGAATTAAAGAGAATCCCACGAAGTAAGGGCAAGAATCTCAACCAGGATTTCACTTAGCAGGGAATGACCGTATAAATGCACTATAACACCTCCTAACAAGGGAAAGGACCCTAATGGCAAGAGGAAGTCATAGCAACTTTGTAATCATCGTGAATAAAATAGAAGGAGCAAGAACTTCCATTGAAGAGTGGACTAGTCGAGTTTCTGAGTTGGTGAACCACTATATTTTTATTGTGTGCACCCCTTTAATCCCCTGAATATTTTATCAGTTAGTATCATACACGAGCTTTGTAACTCTGATCCACGCTCACCTCACATTACCTTCACCTTAAACTCTACCGCGTTGGTATACGTCATCAGCAGTGATGACTTTAGGGACTTTACAGAGCTGTGCTTCAAAGAATTTGGTGATAGAGTAAAGCTTTGGGCCACCATTAATGAACCATGGTCATACAGCTCCCAAGCTTACGACACCGGCTTTCTTGCTCCGGGACGCTATTCTGCTTAGGTGTCCAGTGGTTGCGTCGGAGGCGACTCCGGCACTGAGCCTTATGTGGTTGCCCACCACTTGCTCCTTGGTCACGCAGCAATTGTGAAATTGTACAAGAAGAAATACCAGGTGAGCAAGACTTCCTAGATCATCAACTCCTGCATGAAACGCACATGCAAAAAATTCTTTCTTACACAATTTTTATTGATTAATCTGCAAATATGCTTGTACCCTTCAAATGACCCGAACCTACCTAAACACAATACTATTCGGGTTGAGTTCATTCTTCCTCAAACAGAGTTCTAGATTGTAACAAGCTTCAAAAATTTTGTTTAGCCCCGACTAATTAATTTTTTGTCCAAGCTCAAACTCTACTTGGCGGATTAAACTAACTAAGTTTCAACTTGTGTTTGAGTTTAAACTCAATTCTAGATTAATCTCAACTTGTTTTATATCCAAAGGCTAATAGAAAAACTCTTACTCGAGCTCAATTAATTTGTTTTTTAAATAATTTTTTGTTCAAGTTCAACTTGTTTATTAAACAATTTTTTCAAATTGACTTTACCCTTGGTTCGTTTTATGAATGAATGAACTTGAAAGATAATCCGTTTTGGTCCTGATCTATTCGTGAACAACTCTATTTATTTACAATCTTATATAAAATAGTTCTTATAGAGCAGTAAATCTATATGATAAGATAGCAAGCATTTTTAATTTTATCCCCATATATTTTTTTTGCTTGAATTATTTAATTTAGAAATTGTTCATGTACAATAATATACACATGTTGATATTTTTTGAGGCCATGTATTTTGAGAAAATTGTAGTTGATTTTTTTAAAAAAAGAATTGGTGCAAATTAATTTTAAACTATGTAATTAAAGAAATAGAAGAAAAGAAAATTTGATATTTTATACAGTGATATTGATTTTTTAAGCGCTTACGTCGTGTCTAGTAGCTTGATATTTGTTGATAGACCCGCTTCATGAGTGCTTTATAAGAAAAAATTATGTAACATTTGGCAGTTGATGTTGTATAGGCATCTCAAAAGGGCCAGATAGGAATTGTTCTCGTCACTCATTGGATGGTGCCCTACTCCAGCAGCAAATCGAATCATAAAGCAGCCCAACGAGCCCTTGATTTTATGTTGGGATGGTGAGTTCGATTTCAAAACTGAACTGCTTGTTTGTCAACGCACATCTAGGTGCTCGGAGAGACACTCGAAACACCAATAGATCCATGCATAACACTCATATTTTCTTTGTCAATCGGTTTTATACAATGGTAACGGACATAGTAATAGTAAGTTGGTAACAACAAAACCTAACAAATGCAGAGCGTAATGGAACAGAAACCAGAGGTGTGAATTTCTTTATTTTTCATACAAAACCCTTCAAATTTTGAAGAAATGACTATTTGAAATCCACAACCGACAATAAATTTTTTACACTATACACATGTTAGAAAGTTGTTATAGCTCGTTAGGATTTTCTTCTGATAGAAACCGTAGTGGGCAAAAAACAAATTATCATGTAACGGAATTACATACTATTAGCTCACCATCTGCAAATTCGAATATATTGATATTTATAAGATACCAAAAAAAACTGCCTTGGAGTTTTGTTCATTCCTGAGAAAAGGAAGAACTGGAATATAAATAGGCCTCAATGAGTTCCTAATTTCGATATTTTTGACAGGTTTATACACCCATTAACTTATGGCGACTATCCAAAAAGCATGCGTACCTTCGTCGGAAGACATTTACCGACGTTTATGGCTGAGCAAGCTATGATGGTGAAAGGGTCTTTTGGTTTCCTTGGGCTAAATTACTATACTGGAAATTATGCATCTAATGTTCCTTTTGCCAATAGTATTAATGTCAGCTACTCTACAGATTCACTCGCTAATCTTACAAGTAAGTTCACAACCAAACATTAAAGAAGCCTGCTGTATATAATCTTTGGTCTTTGGTGTGTAAACTGTGAGAAAATACATGAGTTTTGTTCTCATAAATGAGAAAATAGTTTTTCAGTATCATACTGAAAAAAAATTACGACCAATGAGATTGAAACTACTACTCAATAAGGTCTAAAAGTTTGAAATTTGTCCAAGAAAAATTTGAGATTAATCCCTAGGTTTCTAGATTGATTCATAAATTTACTTGGTCAAGTCGTAAATTGGTTGTTTATGTTCATAATTTATCTTGATTGGATTATAACTTTTAATACACTATTAAAAGGTATTGTCGAAAATTCCTTTAACTTTAACCTTTATAACATTGTTTTCCTTTTGTAATTTCACAGCTTACAGAAATGGAAAAACCTTCGGTGATCTGGTAAGTATTTCAAAAACATCAAAAGAAATCAATTTGTAAGAAGTTTATTTATTTTATTTTTTTCATATAGGCAGCCATAAGGCAATTTTATACGTTACATTGCATTACTGTACTTTTTTTTCTAATTCAATTCCATAACTGGATACAAATTGTTTGTAAACTGGTGTGAGTACCTTTTTTTGATTATCCAAATGGGCTTCGAGAGCTTCTTATCTGCACAAAGGAAAAGACAACAACCCAACCATTTACATTACGGAGTGTGGTAAGACAATGATCAGATCCCGCATCAGAATTTATCTCACATCGATATATTTACGTCCAAATTAATACTTGTGTCATGTCAGTCTCTTCGCTTTCCATCTGTTGTCAATTGATTCGGCGTTTGATGATTTAACATGGTATCATGGATAGGCTTTTGATACTTTTAGAACTAGACTCTCTTTTTATTAATAATTTATTATACATTTGTCCATGCCATTGGTGCACCTTATTACGGTCTTATATTTTCTTTTGGATTTTCTATCTAACCCTCCACTTGTGAAATGGTTTCACACGTGCGTACAAGTATTGAAGCTTGTCCCACATCAATATTATTACAATTGTTAAACTCGTATATCAATCTTGTGAACGTTCTCGACCCATTACTAATTAGTTTCGAATTAAATACTTTAACATCATTCTTTTCTTCGTTAGGGTCTTGAATGATCAACCAACAGATGCTAGGCTAACACCATACTATTTTTACTTTAATGTTTTCAATGGGTCGGAGTTTACCTTGAACTCATGATACCACGTAAATTCTGGGTACTTAAAATAAAATGATGTATTTGTCTCATGTTATGTGTTGAATCACTATTAGGGATGGGTGATGTCAACAATAGCACTACTAAACAAGGCGTCAAGGATCTGCAAAAAATAAATTTCTACCATCGCCGTCTTTTAGCCCTTTGAGAAGCCATTAAGTAAGTTTACTCTACATGTTTCCTTTTGTAATAGGATGGAGGATCTTCTTTTCAATTGTCTAGAAGATCATTCATCCCTTTGAATACACTTTGTATATGTTTGAATTTCATCTTATTTACTAAAAAAACTTTACATGTTTTTTAAGGTTTATCTCTCACTTAACTAGGCTATATGTTTTTTCAATAAGACATTATTCACAGACTTCAATTATGTTCATTACACTTTCACTCGATTTTAACTTAACGGTAGATCATTCAACATGTATAGGCGAAGGGCCCAATTATAAATAGTGGGTACCATTTGAATCAATGGTCATCTATCATTAAGTGAAAGTATTAAATTTTTATTTTCTTTTGAGAATAGATTTTTCTTTTTCTTTTTTTTTCTATTCAAGAAAACACAATTTTTTGATTTGAAAAGTGCTTTTAGCAAAATATATATATATATACTAGTAATTGTCCGTGTTTAAAGACACTATATTACTCAGAAAAAATTGTAAATATTTGTTTATAAATAAAGACAATGTATAAAATAATTTTAACAATACAACAATCAAATTGACCTATTTAAAAAGACACATCCTAAATCAAATATTAAATTCACCATCACGCTACATTCTGACTTTAATACAACCATTTACCAACAAACACACAATATAATATAATATAATAGCAACAAACAAATCAAGAGCCCTTGATTCTTTTCAATCATTAATGATTCAAACAATGTATGCTGATGAACAAAAGAAATATTATCATTTCCCTTGAAATGGATTGAAAAATATTTGCACAAATCCCTTGCACTAAGCTAATAAGAGTACTTTTTCCGCCGGGAGGTAGTGAAAGGCCCCATTTCAATTACTAACAAAGGAAATAGTTGCAAATCGGCAAAACTAAACAAAATTTGACACTTAAGAATTCATTCAAACAATTAGAGCTAAGTATTGTACCCAAAACTCAACAATACATTCTATCACACTCCGAGAAAGATCTATAAGTTATTATAAATGAGCTATTTTTCACCAAACAAACAACATATTTGACTACCCTTTCTTATGAAAACTTGTATGGTAGAACACCCAGTTGCTCTACTCACTCATCAAAAATCAGTGGAATCAAAAAATCCTGCAAGGAAAAACTAATGAGAGGTGGAGAAACAGGATAGAAATCAAAGAAAAATTGAAAACCAAAGATAAAAAGCTAGAAATCTGGCATGCTTTTTAGCCAATGCAAATTTCATGATTTACAATCTATAAGCACCGCCACTCTTGTAGCCACCACAAATTTCCTTGACATCTTTCTTTTTTGGGCAGGAGTCGATGTTGCACCAATTAAAAATCATGAATATGAATAATAAAATTTTGTTAACCAAACGTCCAANTTTCCTAGACATCTTTCTTTTTTGGGCAGGAGTCGATATTGCACCAATTAAAAATCATGAATATGAATAATAAAATTTTGTTAACCAAACGTCCAAAGTTTAAAAAATATATGAATATGCTTGGTTAACCAAGCATCAAAAGCTTATAAAATTTGAATAGTAAGCAACAAAGGCTCATAAAAAAAATATAATGTGACCGCTGATATATAACATTGACAATATAGGAAACTTACAAATCAAGAAGTAAGAGATACCCGATGTGCAGCAAGATTGTTGCTGGGCTAGCAATTCCATGATCCAGTCCAATATGTGTCCCAGTGAAAGTGATACATTAGAGTGCGGGTAGAATTTCGATGCAAAAAAATTTTGAGATCACTTGGTAATTGAGAACTGAACCTTAAATACGAATGCATTTACAAAAAACTCCGCGTCAAATAATAGCACAAAGATGCACACTCACAAACATCATCCACTAAAAAAAGATGTAGCAATGAAGATATCAAAGCATGATTGCACGACATAAAGAACCTCAAACCCACTCTTTTTTTTTTTTTTGATGTTTAAAACCACTCTCATTTGGAACATTAAAAAAATAGTGTGTACTCTGTATAACGACCAACCAGTAACAAATTCAATTGAAAAGTCAATTGTTACCTAAGATAACGTACAAATTAAAGACCAAACCAACAACACCCAGTATGGACAGAATTTTTGCCTAAAGCCACAAACTTGATCCACCAATGTAATCATCAAATTACTCACCCAAAAAAATTTGAAATCAACTCGTCACAACAAACACACATTCCCAAAATTGAAGTAACTAATAGAATAGAACCAATAAAATGAAAAATTAATTTTTTGATAGCATACACACACATGCAAAACAAAAACAAACAAATAATTAGAACTACATGATCTCTAAGAGCTGTTGCCCGACCACAGGGNACAGAATTTTTGCCTAAAGCCACAAACTTGATCCACCAATGTAATCATCAAATTACTCACCCAAAAAATTTGAAATCAACTCGTCACAACAAACACATTCCCAAAATTGAAGTAACTAATAGAATAGAACCAATAAAATGAAAAATTAATTTTTTGATAGCATACACACACATGCAAAACAAAAACAAATAAATAATAAGAATTACATGATCTCTAAGAGTTGTTGCCCGACCACAGAGGTTGCTACAATAAATGGTTTCACTGATACAAGCGAAGGTGGAGCCTTCTCTCGGCGAGCTGAGTTGTTGTCTCCCGGTTGTTGATTCATTGACCTGGTCGTCATTGCCATAGATTTGAAGAGAGTATCAAGGTAGTAGAAAACTTAATTGTTTTAGAAAACTTAGTTGTTTCCCCCAAACGGCATCAAACTGATGATGACAAAATAGTCTCGTGCAAGATCAACAGTCGAGTATGTGATAAGGTGTAATTAATGGACAATAAATAAAACNTTCTCTCGGCGAGCTGAGTTGTTGTCTCCCGGTTGTTGATTCATTGACCTGGTCGTGATTGTCATAGATTTCAAGAGAGTATCAAGGTAGTAGAAAACTTGATTGTTTTAGAAAACGTAGTTGTTTCCCCCAAACGGCATCAAACTAATGATGCACAAAACAGTCTCGTGCAAGATCAACAGTCGAGTATGTGATAAGGTGTAATTAATGGACAATAAATAAAACAATCAATGGCAATAATATAAATATTGAGTCAACACACAAATATATACTGGTTCGGTCCGGGTGACCTACTCTACTCTAGGAAACGGCAACGGTGGTCAGGGGGTCTTTATTAATGAAGTAGAATGAACGGAGGAAAGAGTAATGGTTAGCTTCGGGAAAGATACAATTGCTAGGAGAGAGAGAGAGAAGCTATGTGTGTGTAGAGAGGTGTGGTGAGATGCCCCTCTCAATGGAGAGAGCTTACAATTTATAGGCATGATGAGGTAGTGATATGAGTGTGAAGGTACTAATTGTTCAGGGATGATAGTTACAAAAAATNGGGGTCTTTATTAATGAAGTAGAATGAACGGAGGAAAGAGTAATGGTTAGCTTCGGGAAAGATACAATTGCTAGGAGAGAGAGAGAAGCTATGTGTGTGTAGAGAGGTGTGGTGAGATGCCCCTCTCAATGGAGAGAGCTTACAATTTATAGGCATGATGAGGCAGTGATATGAGTGTGAAGGTACTAATTGTTCAGGGATGATAGTTACAAAAAATAAGTATAATTAAGGTAGTCTTGATCTTCGAGAGTGTGTATTCCGATGATCTTTCTCTCACGTGTTCTTTTCTTCATAGACTCTTTGGATTTTGGACTAGGTCGGATTGATAATCGGGCTTGGGCTGCCTTCTTAATGGATCTGGGCTTACTTAATCTATTNCAATGGAGAGAGCTTACAATTTATAGGCATGATGAGGTAGTGATATGAGTGTGAAGGTACTAATTGTTCAGGGATGATAGTTACAAAAAATAAGTATAATTAAGGTAGTCTTGATCTTCGAGAGTGTGTATTCCGATGATCTTTCTCTCACGTGTTCTTTTCTTCATAGACTCTTTGGATTTTGGACTAGGTCGGATTGATAATCGGGCTTGGGCTGCCTTCTTAATGGATTTGGGCTTACTTGATTTACTGAATCTAGTCCAATTAGATCTAGACTCGTCGCTTACAATAAAATGATATGTTTGTCTGGTGTTGTGTGTTGAATCATTGCCAAGGATGGGTGATGCCAATAATACCACCGTTAAAGAANTGAATCTAGTCCAATTAGATCTAGACTCGTCGCTTACAATAAAATGATATGTTTGTCTGGTGTTGTGTGTTGAATCATTGCCAAGGATGGGTGATGCCAATAATACCACCGTTAAAGAAGGCGTCAAGGATCTACAAAAAAATAATTTCTACCATTGCCATCGTTTAGCCCTTCGAGAAACCATCATGTAAGTTTACTCTACATGCTTTTGAGGGGTTTTTTTTTTTCTCTAACTTAACTGTACTGTATGTTTTTCAGTAAATTAATGAGTTTTTGGTCCAATAGTACTGCTTACTTTCGGAAGATTTTATCTTCCTGANTGAGGGGTTTTTTTTTTTCTCTAACTTAACTGTACTGTATGTTTTTCAGTAAATTAATGAGTTTTTGGTCCAATAGTACTGCTTACTTTCGGAAGATTTTATCTTCCTGAGGTTAAGGGTTCAAGTCCTTCTCCCCTCCCAAAAAAACAAAATATGTGTTTCAATAAGGCATTATTCTCTGACTCAAGTTATGTCCATTACAATATTACACTTTTACTTGATTTTAACTTAATGGTTTGTCACTGGAGGTGATAAATGGATGGGTTGGGTTAGATTGGTTATTGGTTGGGTAAAATTAGATTGAGTTAAAATAAATCTAATTTATTTTCACTCACGTAGTAAATGAGTTATAATGGGTGGAATTTATAACGGGTTGAGTTAAACCGATTAACCCATAAAATAATTAAAATTCTTAATAGACACATTAGTACACCAAAATACACTCACATTAGTAGTAATACAAACATACACACACACACTAATACACCAAAATACACATAAACTAATACACTAAAATGCACACTAATACACCAAAAATACACACATATACTAACACAAAAACTAAAACACATTTAATAAAAAAAAAATATACACAATGGGTCGCGGTCGATTGTTGGCTCTGGGTTGGTCCGTGAGTCATGGGTTGACCCATGGGTTATGGGTTAATTCATGTGTTATGGGTCAACCCGTTGGTCATGGGTGGTGTATTAATGTATATATTTTTGGTGTACTAGTGTGTGTATGTTTTGATGTATTAGTGTATATGTGTGTATTTTTCGGTGCAATAGTGTGTGTATTTTTTAATATATTAGTATATTTATTTAATTTTATTACTTGTGTTATTTAATAAAAAAATAAACACTCAACCCAATGGGTACTCATTTATAATTCATATTAACCCGCTTAAATAAAATGAATCATATTACTCAACTCATTTAGAACTCATATTAATTAATATAAATACTCAACTCATTTATTTATGGACGAATTTGACGAATTAATTGATAATGGGTTAAAATTGTCACCTCTATTTGTCACTCAACATATAGGGGCGAGGGGCCCAATTATAAATAGTGTGTCCCATTTGAATCAATGGTCATCAAACATTAATCGAGAGCATTAAGGAATAAGATCTCAATCTTTTATTCTGGTACTAAAATTTTTCAAGTTCTTCATTTTCTTTTGAGAATATTTTTATATATATATATTCAAGAAAACACAAATTTTTAATTTGAAAGTGCTTTTAGCAAAAAAAAAATAATAAATAAATAAATATATATATATATATATATAGTCTATTTAATAATGCTTTTCAAGGATATTGTTAATTTCTTTGTTTTAAGTAGCGTTTGTTTTGCTCTTTTTTTCTTGATCTTTTTTGGCCTTTTCCTCTATTTTATGAATATTAATATACTTTTGCACATATATTAAATATTATTTGTAAAGTAAGCCTTTCAGTTTTTTTTACTAAAAAATAACTCAAAAAAACACCAAAGTGTACATATACTAATAGAGGCATGTTTTGCATGGAAGGGGTGACTGTTAAGGGCTTCTTCGCATGGTCATTTATGGACACCTTTGAATGGAACTCTGCTTACACCATGAGGTTTGGCATTGTCTATGTGGACTTCAATGATGGACTGAAGAGATATCTCAAATATTCTGCTCTTTGGCTCAAGAAGTTTGTCCTCAAATAATATCCTAAGGTTATCTGCACCAATATTCCAATTGGATCTATTAAATAAGGAAGTCATCAAAGCTCTACTCTCTATTGTGTTTCACCATAATAAAACTGTCATGTTTGTAATCTCTTGCTTGTGATAATAAAGAATTTGATTGATTTATTATATACATTGTTCAAAATAAGAGTAGATATATAATGCCATATGTTGTGAATGTGCAGAGAGGTAAACATTCAAGTACTAAAATACAAGATTTAAGGGTTCAGTGTATGTGTGTGTGTCGTTGACCTAAGTTATGAGATATTAATATATTTTACTCCAAATTAATCATTAAAAATTTATGTACTATCTAAAAGAATTTTTAATGTACCCACAAAACAAATTATACATGTCTAACACTAATTTAATTCATTTATTATTTTTATTAATAAATGAATTGTTTGTCATGTTTATTATCAAATTTGTATCGTGTTCGTGTTTTCATGGATAAAACTAAGATTCAGGGTCATTAAGCTGAACATTTAAGGAATTAGTCATCTTTTTTAATATTTTTTAGCACAAAAAAATACTATATTTTAAAACTTATTAATTAAATTATCATCTTTTTTCAATACATATTTTGAAATCACATATTTAAACTAAAAGTATGATTTTGAAAACACATTTAAAAAAAAAATAGTTTGTATAAAAACATACTTTTAAAGCTAAAAAAAAAAAAAAAAGTGAAACCACAGTACTGGGATAATTTGTTTTAAACGTGAAAGCATATGTTTTAAACGTAGTTTGAAATTATTGGGAGACAGAATGAATTATAAGCTTGTGAGAGAGAAGAGAGAAATTGATTATCAGAGGCTGCAGCTTGGTGGAAGATATTAGACTGATTTCGAATAATCTTAGACTTAGTTTGGTATATAATACCCGTATTACTCTCAAGGCAATACATTGGGTGGCCAAGGGGAGAATGTCTATTTCACTACCGAAAGACTGGGTTTTTAACCCATCCTCGGAGTTGAGACATATCATTTCAATTGACTGTAAGTATGATCCGTTTTCTTAATGAAATTTTTACTTCCCAGTTCAAAAGAAAAAAAATTATGGGAGGCTGCAAGCCAGCAAGTCCACCTCTCTCTTAATGTTATGGTTTCTAAATTTTTTTTTTTCAACGATGAGGGTGTCTAAGCGAACTTATGTGTAACTCAACTAATTCTTTTTTCGGTCCGGTCAAAAGCTAATGATCTACGCTGGAATTAGGATATTCATGAGCGATAAATCTCTCATGATCTAGCATTAAGGAGTTGTCAAGATTCAAATTCAAGATATCTAAATTTACAGTTCAAATCAAAAAAAAATATAATATTGTAGATAGTTTGATNCTCAAGACATCTAAATTTACAGTTCAAATCAAAAAAAAATATAATATTGTAGATAGTTTGATAAGTGACTCCTATTAATTTTTTTTTATCACACCCACTAGTTCAAATATACACATTTATTTAATTTATTTTTCAGTAAAATTGTTTTGGTAAGCATAATATTTTCCAGCTCTCTTCTCTTTAATAGAATTCTCAATACCATTTTTTTTTCCTTCCCACATTTAAAAAGCATTTCTCTATGAGAAAAACACATTATGATCGGTGGTGTTCAACCATTTTAGGACACACTCTTTAAAAGAGAGAGTACATTCATGATACCGAGATATATTTTTCGATATTGTATCTTCACATTTAATGCACTATAAATTTGTCTGGTAAAAATTTTATTATTTTTTAATCATTAATTCTCGATCATTCCAGATCAAATCAAGGATTATGATAGATTTCAGTAGTAGCTTTACCCTACAAAAGATGTGTATATTGTACCTCTACTTTTCATGCACTAAAAATTTAAGTCGTGTAAAATTTTATTATTTTATTATTTTATTATTTTTTAATCAATAATTCTAAATTATTCAAATTAAAATCAAGGATAGAGATGAATTTTGAGAGTAGCTTTACCCTACAAAAGATGTTTGTCTTGTAACACATTTTTCATTCAAACTTATTTTTTTTAAAATGTTATTTAAATTTAAATTTGTACTTTAATTAAAATAGTAATGTTATATTGACTAAAATTAAGGATCAAATGACATGACAGTTTAATCAGCCTTCTAAATTAGTTGTCATGTCATTTAATAAAATTGTCAAATGACATGATAATTGACTTGAAAAATTGATTAGACTAATTATTGCCTAATAAGCCTTTTAAATTAACTATCATATTATTTGAAATCTTTATTTGATTCCTAATTTTGATCATCGTAGTATTACTATAATTAAAATTATGAGTTCAATATATGCTTTTTAGTTGACTGAGCTGATTGGCTAGTGGGTCGTTGAAGACGATTGGACTCACGCGCTGTGCCACGCATTACTCTTGTACATTAAATTCTCGGTACCGTATTACTTATTATTCTTTTGAATATTTATAGGTAATATTTTACTTACCAAATATTTTTACAAAATCTTCGTTCCAAATAATGTAGCACTTTTTTTTATCATCAAATAAATGAGTCTTATTAATATTTAATAACAAAAATTATGTCACATCATTTGATACGAAAGATTTGATAATTGTTTTAGTAAGTATAGTGTTTCCTTTATATTATCTTTTAAGTGGAGTTTATTACATGGAAAACGCTAGCTATTTGGATTTAATCTTGAGCTCCTAATTTAATATAATTATTGAATTAGAAGTGAACTCTATTTAATATTGGAATTCACAACTAATTAACTTGTTACATTGAAAATGATAATTTGAATTAACTAACAAATATATTTACGTGACCGCAAACTTGTATTAGTTTAATCCTTCAAGTTCATATTTGTATCACTTTGTTCGCTAAAATTTTTAAAAAATATGCTTCAAATGTGATCACGTGAGATGTTCGTAACGATGTCCATTAATAAATTCCAACTGCCATTTTCAATTGGACCCGAGTGACATAAATTGAGAAATTAATGGACTAAATTGACACAAAACGTATAATTTAGGGACCAAAAATATATTTTACCCTTTTATTAATGTGTCATGGCTAAAATTGTTTTGTTAGTTGCTTGGTTGAAACTCAAGCATGATACGTTTTGAGTTTTATTAAATGTCCTTTTTTGATTATTAATTTTTTTTTTTACATTCAAGATAAAAAGCACATACTTATTATATATTGGTAGAGGCAATGCTAGATAGATAAAAATAAAGAACAAATGATATCGCGACGATTGTCGATAATACTTCCTAAGCAAATATTGAATTCATTTCATCAAAATTTTTAATGAGTTTTAAAATTTTGTGCAAAAATAAAAAAACTTATTTGACATCGAATGTGAGGAGAATATAATATAAGAAAAGTCAGAGAGACGGGGAGAGAGAAAGAGCCACGTTTAATCTTATTTTTTGTCAGTATTGATATTCAAAAGAAATAAAGAAATAGCAATGTTATTAGGACCTAATTTACTGACATAATTTATTGATCTAATTCACTATGACCTTTGGATTGATTGTGAGCTCCATCAAACATTAAAATTTGGTGTTAATTTAATGATTCTAATGAAATTACGTCGTTAAGTCAATAAATTATGTTAAATTTTTAGGCTCAAATAACATTTTTCATATAAAAATATGGAGTTTAGAGCATCCACGTCGCTTCCTCGAGCAAACATCGGTCTATTTAAAGGGGATTATGAGAGAGAGCCTTGAAACCATAGTTAGCCATGGCAAATCTAGGCTCACTTCTATTTTGCCTCCTAGTCCTAGCTAGCTCTCTGTATCAGAGAGAGCTTGCCACAGCAAAACTCATTTCCTCTTCATTTAACCGTAGTAGTTTCCCACCTGGTTTTGCCTTTGGAGCATCCTCATCTGCCTACCAGGTAAAAATTTGAACTTAATTATCATTTACTGCCCAAAATGCAGAACTTCAAGTTTAGGGTTGTTTGCAAAAAGATCTCGAGCTCGACCCAAGGCAGCATGTTCAAGTTTGACTCGTTAAATTTATTTTTTCCCAAACTCAAACTTGTGTTTGTACTTAAATTCTAGTTCAAACTCATCTTCAATATAAAGCTCAACTTGTTTACGAGTATAGACTAATTTAAATATTCTTTCACAAAACTAAACGAGTCAAGTCTAAGCCCAGACTCATTTATACATATGTTTCACAAGTCTAGAGGAACCGAAAAAGTCATTGCTTGGGCTCGAATAGTTTAACTCAACTCTTCATTAACACTTCGATGAATTTGCATCCCCATTCAAGCAACATTTTCACACATGACCAAAATGTTTCTACATGTGGTTTCAGTATGAAGGTGCAGCAAATGAAGATGGGAAAGGCCCAAGTATATTCGACACCTTCACCCACAAATATCCAGGTTATTCTCTCTAGATCTCAAAATTTATGTTTGTTATTTTCATTCATATCGGGCCAGAGAGATTTCGAGTTAAGTTGTAGTCAATCTTATCCTTATTTTAAGAAAATTGGTTCTCGGAATTGAATGTCAAACATATCACTTTAATGGATCAGCGTTTGTTTTATCTATACACCCAACTTCTGCATTTGTTGCTGCTTATCACGGCAGCCATTTTCTAGCTTCGTATTTTCCTTTAAGTCGTGGCTGATCAATGTGTTGCTTGGTAATCGATATTTTCGAGCTTGTTTTTAACCATAGATTGTGAGTTCCAGTCTCATTAATCTTGTCTCTTTTTTTTTTTGCAGATTTGCAATCTCGAGTCAAGCTTAAACAAGTAACAATCCACTAGAATAGCGTCCGAGCATAGCAAAGGCTCGTAAATGTTGAAATTTAGAAAGGATCCAAACTTTATGACTCTGCATTATACTAACGCCCCCTAACTTTTAAAAAATTACACTAAGACTCCAATAGTTAGACGAAATTAACGGCCTTGATAAAAAAAACTATTTTGGCCCTCTCTTTAACCCAAACCCAAACCCTATACCTAACGCCTTCGTCGTCTTCTCTGCACCCTGGCCATTAACGCCTTCTCTCTGACACACACACACACTCTCTCTCTCTCTCTCTCTCTCTCTCATACCCTCATGGCGAAGAATCAAACCAAAATCGCCGGTCTTCTCTCTCTCTCTCTCTCTCTCTCTCTCTCTCTCTCTCTCATACCCTCAAGGCGAAGAATCAGACCGAAATTGCCAGTCTTCTCTCTTTTTCTATATATATATCACCCAAAGCAAAGAACCAGCCCACAAAATCGCAAAAGATTCCTTTCCCCTACCATTGCAACATCTTCTAGTAGCCACTCCCATCCAAATCTAAGAAATCAAAAGGATCTGACGTGAAAATCTAAGAAATCATTATAACTTATTATTGAAGGGTATTTTATAAATTATTATTGATAACATCAATTTTGACCTTGAATTATTATAACTTTTGTTAGTTGGAGAGGTGTGGTTGTTATAAGTTTTAAATGTTTGGAGAGTTTTGTGTAATTTTTTAAACGTGAGGGAGTGTCCGTAAAATAAAATCAAATGTGAAAGAGTGTGAGTATAATTTATCCAAATGGATATTATAACTGGCAAACCAGTAATTACATTTACCTGGTCACGTAAATCCGCTTTAACATGGTGACTCATGGAAAAATAAAAGATAAATTGTACTTTAACCCTTCGGTATGATCTCTGCATCTTGTGTCTCTTATAGATTAAGACGTTTATTATATTAATTGTATCTCAAATAATAATTATTTATTTTACATTAATTATGGTGCAATATTTTTGTAAAAATATGAAGGGTATTTAGTTTTATTGTAACGTGAAACTAGTTGAAGTAAGTGATAATCCAAAGTGAGATCCGAGACATAATTAATGATGTCAAGTTGTGATTTGTCAAAAAAGAAATGATCGTGAGAACCCATTGCTTTTTGTAGAGACCATAATAAATTTGGGCACGATACAACTTATTACCTCAATTTATAGTTAATATGAAATTAGTGTGTACTCAATTGGGGTTTACGATATTCGTATGGTATACATGTTAATTAATTACGTGTATTGTGTTCGGATTTCTAGCGTTTACTTGACACGTTTATAATTAACATCAACACAAGTTATTGATCATTAACATTATTTTCATTAATGTCATAAATTATTTTGTTGGGTTGAGTGTTGATAGCTTCCACACATTCTGAATTGTGTGGTGTCATTGCAGACAAAATATTGAACAGGAGTAATGGAGATGTAGCAAACAACTTCTATCATCTTTATAAGGTATGGTATGTTTTTGGCATTATTAGGTATGGTATTGTTTCATAATGTTTTAAAGTATTTTAAGATATTTTGGTATATTTCAACTCATGTTTTAGAAATAGGTCAAAATATTTTTGAAACATATCGAAACATTTATATTTCTTAAGTGATCAAAACAATGTACTGAAACTAAATTTTGATTCTTGCACATATGTTTTTGTTTTTTCCGCTTTCTTTTTTCCTTTTTCCTTTTTTGTGTGAGTTTAAAATAAAACTATCTACTATTTATGTGTTTAGTATTAGGAGTGCAAAGTAGATAAGTTGGGAGGGTAATTCGGACTTAACACAATTTATAAAACAAAAACATATAACACGAAACATGAAACAAAAACGCGAATCAAACGACCCCAATCACAACTTAAATCTAGTGGGATTACAGCACAAAGGTATTACTTGACCCCTAATAAATTATAGTTAATCTATATTCCCTTATGATTTCTAGTATAATGCCACATTGTGGAGAAGATTACGATACCCAAAAAAAAAAAAGTGTCGTACCTCCAAATGTCATAACTTCAATTAGAATTTTTACAATTTTTTGGGTTATTTTATAACAAAAAAAACTTATAATTTTTTTGGTCTTTTTATAATTTTTTTGAGTGGTTATAACAAACTCTTTTAAAAATTATAAAAATATCTATAAAAGTTATAAATAATGAAACGGTATCATTTTTTTTCCCTTAGTACTATTAACTACACTACTCACATTGTATGTCGTTGACATGTTCTTTCACAGAAGAGCAATGTAACATGAACTTAATTTATTAATTTAATCAATTATTATCATTATTAGGATTCATAACATATTCAATANCTGTGCTTTCACAGAAGAGCAATGTAACATGAACTTAATTTATTAATTTAATCAATTATTATCATTATTAGGATTCATAACATATTCAATACCTGTTATTAATTAAGTCAATAAATCAAATAAATGTTTTAAATTCAAATAACATTTCCCTTATTAGAATTTGAGGGCCCAAGGGCATTATTCAAGATATGATAAATCATAAGTACTTCAATATTTAAAATAGTTTTCATCTACGATATTAGGAAACAAAATTCGGTAAAATATCAACTTTTATCACAATTATAAATGTTTTTTCTATTATAGAACTGGAAAAACTATAACAATAATTATGACAATATAAATAAAAATATTCACAAATGTGATAAATCACTAATAAATAGTGATAATTATTTTGTATTAAAGAAAAATAATAAAAATAATTATCACTATAGTAGTTAAAATTCTTATAAATGTTATAAATTACTCACAAAAAGTGATAATTTTTTTTTTTGTGAGTTTGAAATAATAAAATTTAAAATATGGTACCAATATTTTTCTCCAGTAATCAAATCCTTTAAAATATGGTCAAGAATTAAATATAATGTCAGTATTATAAATATATATATGTTGTCCTCTATCTTCATTTACTTATGTAAATGATGAAAAAAAAAATTAAAAAAAAAGGTGAATGCACTGTCTTCTTTTTCTTTTTTTTGGGTGCTGCCGAGTGAAGTTCAGTTTACTGGGTAGCCAAGTAAAACTAGTACGGAAAATATTCGTCTTTAAAAAAAGATAAGATTCAATCACCATTGCTGTCCCAATGCCAAGTTGACAAGACAATCCGTAAATTGATTCTCTTATCTTTGTCAGTGATTCTGGGTGATGTTATGTTATGGTCCCAACAATATTCTCTTCTGGACTTGTCTTATTTAGGTATATGACAAGGGTACCAAAGTAATAATTTTGGTTTCATACTTTTATTTTTTATTATTTTAATAGTTATTTTTATATTTTTTATGAGTTATTTTATACAAAAAAAATTTATTATTTTTGTCGGTGATTTATCACTTCTGTGAGTATTTTTATCACCGTTATATGTGTTTTTACTACATTTGTGACAATTATTTTTATCATACAAAAACTTTTATGACATTTGTGGATGTTTTTATTATATTTATTGATGTTTTTATCATTGTTGTAGTAATTATTTTTCTCATTCTTAGAGTACCATAATAATGGTAAAAAAGATCCACAAATATGATAAATGAAAGGATCGTACTGAAATTTTTTTTTTTAGGTACCACAGTCAAATTCAAATCCCTTATTGGGACATTAAAAGCTATTTAAACTTTCATAAATTATTTTTTAAAATTTAAATAATATGATTTTATCATGTTGGATCTTACTCTTTTCTTTTAACTAATAACGCGTATTGTAAATATAACAATATTTCTGGATTATCTAAAATAATAATTAATATTTTTATTTATATTTTTTAAAAAATTATTACGAAATGGTACATTAATTTCCTATTACTAATGTGACAGGGAGATGTGCAACTGATGAAGTACATAGGACTGAATGCTTTCAGGTTCTCCATCTCATGGCCTAGACTCTTACCTCGTAAGACAATCCTTCCCCTTCCACAAATCAGTGGTGTCAACTGTGATTTTATTATAGGAGTAAGCGTAAAATTATTAATGCTCAATCGATAACTAATTAAGATGTGGTACAATGATTGTACCCAAAAAAAACTCCTTAAAAAGTTTTCAAATAATGGAGTTTTCAAAGAAACTCTTTTTTTTGGTACTTATATTTACATTTTAAATTGAAGGGTTAGTGAGAGTATGGGCAATAATTAAAACTAATTCGTAAAAAATTAATCCACTGCGTGAAATTCGTTGGTGACCTAGTAACTTGGATAACTTATTCCTTATGTGGGTCATAAACGAGTTACGANTTTCGTAAAAAATTAATCTACTGCGTGAAATTCGTTGGTGACCTAGTAACTTGGATAACTTATTCCTTATGTGGGTCATAAACGAGTTACGAAATATTTCATCGTGGTAGTATTTTTCAATCTGCATGTGTGTTAATGTTAGTATAAATGTTTCATTTTGAAGGCCTTGGTGGTGAGAGTATAGTTTTCACTTAGCATATTCATGTGTAATACATGTTTTTGATAACTAACATGATTGTCTAGATCACAGGAAACGACATTTTTAGTGGCACAAAAAGTCGCCGCTAATAGCCTAAAGTTGCCGCTAACTGTTTTACATTAATATGTTTTTTCTTAACATATCCTTTCGGATTTTCATTACTCAGGAGGGAAGCTAAGTAGAGGAGTGAACAAAGAAGGTCTTGCCTTCTATAACAATCTCATCAATGACCTCCTATCAAATGGTTTACTCTCTCTCTCTCTCTCTCTCTCTCTCTCTCTCTCTCTCTCTATGACAATTTTTTTTTTTTGGGTTTGAATGCGCAGGTATACAACCTTATGTGACAATCTTTCATTGGGATCTTCCCCAAACACTTGAAGATGAGTATGGAGGCTTTTTGAGTCCTCACATATTTTAAGTAAACTTCTGAGCCTATTATTAATTTCTATATTCTATTTACCAAGTTAGGAGTTCCTTGAAATTTTTGCTTTCAAAATAATTCTTGGATTCCATTGTTTCAAATTGGGAGCATTAGGATGGAGCAAAGTCAGCCCAAGTCCAACCCAAATTATAAATAGGGAACATTGGAAGTCGGTTCCCCCTTATTGACACTCTTATTTGAGAAAAAGTTTCTCCTTCAAAATTTTTTTGGTTAAAAGTTCACTTTGAATGAAAAAGTTGATAGCACCCTTCTAGCATAATTTTTTGAATGCTTAAACTTCAGTTTCCTAAGGAAACCAAAACACCATTCATTACTCCCTCAATCAACACCAAAAAGAGTAATACTATTTACACCTAATTTACTGACATAATGACGTGGTTTTATAAGAATCATTGGATCAACATCAAGTTTCAATGTTTGATGGAGTCTACGGTGAATCCAAAGGTCATAGTGAATTAGGTTAACAAATTATGTCAGTAAATTAGGTCTCAATAACATTACTCCACCAAAAATAGTGACCACTTTCCCTTAAGACAAGGACGTCAGATATACCTATAAACAAATTTCACATTAATTAGTTTCTTTGAATTTCAAAGAAACAATCCCATTAATTTCTCTACTCCATAGTTTTCTGAAATCATTAACTTCGTCAATGTGAAATCTGGCATCGTGGAGAAGATTGTGATGAGCCCGAAATTAATTAGGCTAGGCCCAATTAATTAATAAAGGCTCACGTCATCTCGGAGTCCAAGTCAACAAGTTAAGAAGAAGCTCAAGTCAAGGAAAGCCAAAGTCGAGGAGGAGCCCAAGTCAAGGGAAGCCTCACATCACCGCCTTACTAAATTTATATAATGTAAGCTCTCTCCACAAGGAGAGACATATTGACTTGACCTTGCGACCCCTACACCCATCACTTCTCTCTCTCTCTCTCTCTCTCCTAAAAGTATTGTAATACTCTCGAAGTTAATCTTTCGGTNCCCTACACCCATCACTTCTCTCTCTCTCTCTCTCCTAAAAGTATTGTAATACTCTCGAAGTTAATCTTTCGGTGACATTATTCATTAATAAAGATCTTCGGCCACCGCTGCCGTTCCTGAAAGTGGAGTAGGTCACCCAGATCGAACCACTATAAATTTTGGTGTTGATTCCCTTATTTACTATTTTGCCACTGATTGTCTATTTACTGTTCATTAATTGTGTCTCTTGATATACTCGACTTTTGATTTTGTGCAATATCAATTTGTGCATCATCAAATTACATAATCATCTTGAAGATCTTTCGGTTTGAAGCTTCGATCACTGGAATAGTTCCTTCACCACCATTATCGGAATAGTCAATCACAGCATTGATCGCTTATTTTAATTTCTGAATCAAAATAATATTTTTGGTTCCATTATTTTTGGAATCATGATTTTTAGGACTTACTTATATGGTACAACTAAAAACTTATAGTCGAATAAGACCTAAAAAGTATACCCACACTTAATTTTCTCTTATAAATATATGCAGAGATTGGCCCAGCCCAAACGTGAGCTGCATATAGTCATTTTGTTAGTGGTAGCTCCTCTTTCTCTAAAGAATCCGAGGACTAAACCCTAGAGGAAGCAACTTTAGTTGATTCATTAAGAGAGCCTAATGTTGCTTGTTTTTTTTTGGCATGGAGATTATATTTTTGGTTAATTGCACTGGAGGTCCCCAAAGTATAGGATTTGTCTTATTTTAGTTCTCAATATTTTAATTATATCATTTAGATTGGTAATGATTTCTTATCATAAACTTGTCACGTAATACTTAAATATAAGAAAAATAATAGTTTTAATAGCTCCTAAACAAAATGTGGATAGCTCTTGACAAAAAAATGTGTATTATGCGTAGCCAACTTATGATCAAAATTATGTAATTTACGTAACTATTTAACCAAAATTTAAATACAAATTTGGTCAAGAGTTATCTAAATTATTTTTTTGTCCCTATTTAAGTATCACGTGACAAGTTTATAATAAAAATTGGTAGTAATCTGGATATTGTTTGCTTGAGAAACCATAAAAAAATATATTTAATATTTCAGGGACTAAAATAATGCAATTGAAACATTAGGAAACAAAATGAGACAAACTTCATAATTTGGAAACCTCCGGTGCAATTACCCCTTATATTTTTCAAAAAAAGAAAACATTAATACTGCTACACCGATCAACTTTCCTAACCAATGCTATGCAATCCATTGAATTAGTGGATCCCACTAAGATATATTAATCATCAAATGATTGTAGTTGTGCCACATTGATTTTTTATTTTTTTTTTCCTAGTCATTTGTGTCACACTGATTGGTAAGGAAAAATTGGTAAAAGCATTAGGGGTAATAGCATGATTGTTGTAAGTTTATTTGTTTGATAAGGCAAAGGATGTGATAATTTAATCAGTGGCTAATTATCTGATATAATGATTTGCCAGCTCATAGGAACCAATAGCATTTTTCTACTTGTAACTGCTAGATTTTCTTATGAGCAAATTATATTTAGACCCCTGAATGATGCTCCACATTTCATATTGCCCTCTAAATTATCTATTTCCTCACATTAATCCTTAAATCATTGATTTAAATGTCACATTATCCCAATTTTGGTGTCCAAATTTTCATGGTAAATTAGAGCAAAAATGAAAATTTTTCCTCTTCGTTGCTCTGATTTGCTATGAAAATATAGACAAAGTTAATGATCGAAGCAATTCGGAATTGAAACCAATAGTTTAAGATGTAATACCATAAAGTAAATAGTTTAGGGGCAATGTGGCATGAGGGACATAGTTTAGGGACTAAAACTATAATTTGTCCTCTTTTATTAAGATTATTATGTCAATGACACATCACAAGTCATTAATCCAAAGATTTTTCGGAATGACAGGGACGATTTTCGAGATTTTGCAGAACTTTGCTTCAAAGAATTTGGTGATCGGGTCAAGCATTGGATCACTATGAATGAGCCATCTATTTTCATCTACAGCGGTTATGACACCGGCACCCTTGCTCCCGGACGGTGTTCTGCTTGGATGTCGAATGGGTGTCCGGCCGGAAACTCAGCGACGGAACCGTACGTGGTTGGCCACCATATGCTCCTTTGCCATGCTGCAACCGTCAAACTATACAAGGAGAAATTCCAGGTACCTTAATGGTCTAGTAGGTTACGTCAAGTTACAACTCAACGAGGTCAAAGCAAAAAATTTTGTAAAATAAAAATGTTTAGGGTCAAACACAAATAAGGATCAATTCAAAGTTTTTTTTATCGCGACCTCACTGACTTAAAACTAAAGCTATTTGAGTCGCAATTTAATTTGACCGACTCGTAAGTTACCGTACTATACTGAAACCAGTTGAAAATCCCTTTGTAATTCTCCTTAATATAACATTTTGATGGTGGTGTAATGCAGGCATCTCAAAAGGGTGAAATAGGGATAACACTAGTGTCTCACTGGATGGTGCCTCAGTCCACCAGCAAATCCGACATTAGAGCAGCGCAAAGAGCCCTGGATTTCATGTATGGATGGTAAGTGCATGAGACAATGATAATGATGCACATAGAATCCACAGATGTGAAGACAATAAGAGAAATTACACTTTGACCCTCTAAACTATGGTACCTGATTTCACTTTGCCCCTTAAGTTATTGAATTTCTCAGATTAGGTGAACTTCAAAAATGTCCCTAGAACTATGACCTTTGTTTTAAATTGTCCCTGAACTTTCAACTACCTCAATTTATCCCCTGAACTATGTAATTTATTTCAATCGAACCCTTCCGTTAAGATCAACCATTAAATTAGACAAATTAACGGGTAATCATAATGGAGTTTATCTCATTTAGAGCTTAAATCTTAACGAAATTTGTTCAATTATCAGTTAATCTTAATGGAATGGTTCGATTGAAATAAATTACATAGTTCAAGGGGCAAATTGCTATAATTAAAAATTTAGGGTATAATTTATAACAAAAGTCATAGTTCAAGAGGTATTTATGAAATTTACCCAAAGCTATTCAATGACAAAATAATCTCTCACAACACCGATGGAATTTATACCTCGTGAATAACTTAGTTTTGGCACAAATGATTTATCTTTGATCGGATGGTAGAGGAGATTAGTCTAAATTTGTGTAAGTTGACTCGGATACTCCTCACCGTTGAACAAAAAAAAAAAAACGCACAAACATAGAACACATATAGTGGTTGTAGATTCTGATTCCTGTTTCATCATATTGTAAACAGGTTCATACACCCATTAGTATATGGTGACTACCCTCAAAGCATGCACAAACTGGTCGGGAAACGGTTGCCAAAATTCACTATTGAACAAGCAGTGTCTTTGAAAGGGTCTTTCGACTTCCTGGGACTAAACTACTACACTGCAAATTATGCAGCTAATGTTCGTTTTCCTAATACTATTAATGTCAGCAGCTCAACAGATTCTCAAGTTCACCTTTCAAGTGAGTTAACGACAACACACCTTAGTCAAGGCAGCTATATGTATATATATATATATATATATATATATATATATATATATATATATATTCAGTCAACAATGTACATAATGGTTTTTTTTTTTGTTTTTTTTTTTTACAGCGGAGAAAAATGGAAAACCCATCGGTGATTCGGTAAGTCTAGTGACAATAATGTTGCTGTCACCAGCTTTTTTTGCTAATTGACGTGGTCCAATCATAACCATTTGTTATTAACATGATCCAATGGAACTAATTAATCCAACGGGCCAGTCTGTATTAGTTAATGAAGAAAGTTTATGGAAAAAAAATACAAATTACATTGTATCCCCTTAAAGATCTATGAGGTTTATTTATTCCTCAAGGATTAATTGTTTTGTATTGTACCCTAAATGCATTTAAATGGTAGTAATGTTGCCCCGGTTCCATAGTAAATCAGCCNTTGTATCCCCTTAAAGATCTATGAGGTTTATTTATTCCTCAAGGATTAATTGTTTTGTATTGTACCCTAAATGCATTTAAATGGTAGTAATGTTGCCCCGGTTCCATAGTAAATCAGCCCAATATTCTTAAGATGGTGTTTGCAAACCCGAAGACAGTCACTCTGTATAACGAATGTGAAATGTTGAATTTGTACCTATACTATCGCTTTTAGGCACCTCACTAAACAAAAGTATCCCTTGATTTCCTTTCAAAACCCTATTAATAAAAACCAAACTGTGTTTTATCTCATCGTCTGTGATCGGATTGACTAACCTAACCCTTAAGGAGGCCTTGCCATAGTTGGGTACTCTGCTTTAGTGTGATTGACGAAGGCTAGGTTAGATTTGTTAATACTCAAAACAAATGATTAGAGATCGGAGTCAATAGTTGGCAAGGAACTTGATCCCAAAACAAAAAAAGGCAGCTGCGGTCGAACTCTAATTCTGAAAAGAAGTCGGGACCCTTTTACAAAAAAGGGGACAGCAGCATGAATGCCTCAATGGTAGAAACGTGCCCCCTTTCACCATTTCTTTTCATGAATTCGTGTCCTAAGTTATGGAAATATGGACACGTTACTACCATTTTAAAGAAATTCAGGGTACAATATACAACTTTTAATCTTCAAATTAATGGGGAAAATGAAAATAAAATTGGCAAGTGTGACATTACAATACATACTTTTACTTGGTAACTAGTGTAGCAGCAACTATACCTCAATTTCACAACCTGTGACAAATGATCTGCAGACAGGGGTGAGTACCTTTTTCGTCTATCCGAAAGGACTTCGAAATCTTCTGATCTACACAAAGGAGAAATACAACAATCCAACCATTTACATTACTGAGAATGGTAGGCAAAAAATAATCTCCTTTTCATCAATCATGCACAATTATATGTCAGAATTTTGAATTATAAGTAACATCATCGATCCTCGATCACTTCAAGTTCATTTCTTTGATTATTTTCAGGTATTGGTGACGCCAATAACAGTACGACTAAGGAAGGCATCAAGGATATGCAGAGGATAGATTTCTACCATCGCCACCTTTCGGCAGTTGAGGAAGCCATTAAGTGAGTTGATTCTTCTTGCTCTTAGGTGTTTTTCTATTATTGAACCACTTTAGGGTTTCACTAGGGCTTTAATACATAAGTTTTCTCAATAGCTAACTTCCAACTTCTCTAGACCAAAACAAAAACCAAAAAAAAAAAAAAATGGCAAGATACATTTTTACTCTATAAAAACATACATCATCTCACTTTGGTCTTTATCCCTCCAATTGTGTTCACCTCACTTTTTGAATTTTCAATTTGAGTCTAAACGATCCGATCGATAGAACATCCTATTTGCAAAAAAATCCGCTTTGCCCCTTGAAATGTATGAGAAATGTCAATTTGATCCCTCAACTATTAGTGTTGTCAGTGACATCTACAATGTTTTCCAACTTGATTTGATGGTCCTTAAAACACTTCTGCAAAAATACCACGCGCGGCTCAAGGTAATTAGAAAAATTACATATGCATTCTAGGAATGTAATTGACAAAGATAATGGTCGAGGAATCATAGCAACAGTTCAGACATACTTTGAGGGCTAAAAGTAGGCACTTAGTTTTTGAATTTCCACTACAAGTCTAGCTTATGTCATCCATTGAACCATTTAAATGTTCCAAACTATAGACACCAAAATGGCACAATTAAAGAATACGGATCAAANAGGCACTTAGTTTTTGAATTTCCACTACAAGTCTAGCTTATGTCATCCATTGAACCATTTAAATGTTCCAAACTATAGACACCAAAATGGCACAATTAAAGAATACGGATCAAAGTGAGACGAGACACATATTTTAAAGACCATTATGACATCTGACAGAAGAAAATAACTATAGGATGTCTAAGGTTTTCTTTATTTTGATTGTTAAAGAAACCCTATGGTGATGATATGATATTGGCAGGGTTGGTGCCAATGTCAAGGGGTTCTTCGCATGGTCATTCCTAGACACCTTTGAATGGGCGTCTGGCTATACCCTAAGGTTTGGTATCTGCTATGTAGACTACCTTGATGGTCTTAAGAGATACCCCAAATATTCTGCTCTTTGGTTCAAAAAGTTTCTCCATTAGTAAGAATATTTGTTCTATCTTACTGTTTTTGCTATGAAGTTTATCACCTCTATTCACCCTATTTCGACAACTTAGTGAGTGAAATATCACTTGTATTGTATCTTCATTTTCCGAACAACAACTGTAACTTGTCCCATTGTATGGAGTGCTAGTAAATTATGTACGCAGAATGTGTTGTCTCGTTGCTTGTTGTGGGATAATAGAAAATCATTTCAGCCACATGCAATTTGAAATTTTTCGTACAATGCAANTTTTTGGGGGGGGGGAGGTAAGTAAATGGATCACAAGGTCACTAAGCCGGAATATCAAACATTAAATAAGAAATTTGGGAAAAAAATTATTAAAAGCAAAAGTAGTTTTACTAGTTTTATGTACTTGGGGTTTAATTCTCATTGTTAGTAAAGTTGGACCAAATTGCATAGCTAGGTACTGTTAATAGACAAAATACTTTTGGGAAGAATCTCTTTTTGCACCCCGAAAAAAATTTACGATTTTTATTTTATTCTCTTAAAAATTAAATTTTTCACATTGCACTTTTAATATATTAAAAATATTGTAATATGACCCTTCTTTTAACTTTTGTTGTTTACTCCGTCAAAAAATTACCTCATTGATGTTGACGAAATAAATAACGGAAAGTAACGAAATTGTCACGTTACCACATTTTTAATATATTGAATGTGCATTATAAAAAATCTAATCTTTGGGGTACAAAATAAATTTTTTTAAATCTTTCAAGATACAAAATAAAATTTGCCCATATTTTTTTGGAAAAAAAAAAAACAAAAAAAATTGGATGAACAAAACGATAAAAACTTTATTATTTCTAGAACCACAAAGGTTGTGTGACAAGTCATGCACAAAAGCCACATCTCTTTAGGATAAAGCAGAAGGGCCCAATCTCCAAGTCATGTGAATTAATGGAAGGGAAAGAAGAAGGTATAGTGATTAAAGGGAAGGGCTTGTAAGAGAGAGAACATGAATGCACATGGAATGGGGACAATACTCACATGAAACAAACATGGGCCTTTCTCTTTGCTTTGCCTCCTGAATTCAGAGCAGTCTCCGTCTTGTTCCTCCATCTAAATACATCGTCTCATTCATAATATATGTGAAACACTTCCATTATTATTAAAAAGGTGAATGATAGTTGGGTCATCACGTACTCAATCATTCAAGCGATATGTCATCTTTATGTAGCCATCTAAATTTATCATCTCATTCTTAATATACACGAAACACTTCTATTATTATTAGGGTGCGTACTCATCCATTCAATCGATATGTCNACATCGTCTCATTCATAATATATGTGAAACACTTCCATTATTATTAAAAAGGTGAATGAAAGTTGGGTCATCACGTACTCAATCATTCAAGCGATATGTCATCTTTATGTAGCCATCTAAATTTATCATCTCATTCTTAATATACACGAAACACTTCTATTATTATTAGGGTGCGTACTCATCCATTCAATCGATATGTCACAAAATCGAATATTTGAAAATCGAACTTTCTAATAGCATCTTTAATAGTACTTTCTATTTTTAAAGAGCATTTTTAAAAAAATAGAGAGCATCTTTGATGAAAATTTGATATAAAGAGTGAAAATTTTTAGATAATTCCAATGGGACTTTATTCTAATTGCAAAATAGTCTTATAGTNTTAAAAATAGAGAACATCTTTGATGAAAATTTGATATAAAGAGTGAAAATTTTTAGATAATTCCAATGGGANAAAAAAATAGAGAGCATCTTTGATGAAAATTTGATATAAAGAGTGAAAATTTTTAGATAATTCCAATGGGACTTTATTCTAATTGCAAAATAGTCTTATAGTAAATAACATTCAACGAATAATATATATGTGTAATCTTTTCATTCATTGAAANGACTTTATTCTAATTGCAAAATAGTCTTATAGTAAATAACATTCAACGAATAATATATATGTGTAATCTTTTCATTCATTGAAATAGAATAAAGAGTACATTGGGCTCTCCAAATTTATAAGCTCAAATTGAGTTCTATATTTTCGCAAGTGAACAAACGTTCAACAGCTGTCGGAAGTATAAACCTTTTTCTCGTAATCCCCAAATGATCCTGTTTCTTTGGTTTCCGAAGAGATTAACTAAAAAGCCTAAGAGAGTTGAATGAAAATAAATAGTCTATTGGAGATACTAAAAATCTTAATTTTTTTATGAGAAATTAAACATGTTATCTAATGAGGATTTTGCCGGACAATTACATTTATAATGGTAGTACTCAAAATTTATGATGCAAAGTTTTCTTAATGAAAAACTTTTAGTTTTAAGAGAACANACTCAAAATTTATGATGCAAAGTTTTCTTAATGAAAAACTTTTAGTTTTAAGAGAACAAGTTTTGGCTTTGAAATTTGAGTAATGGTAGATGAATTTAAAAATTAGACTTCATAAATCTCAATCATTGAATAAGTAGTGAATCACAATAAATGTTGAGACTCACAGTGAAATCAATGATTGTAATTATCAAATCTACTTTTTAAGTCTACGTAGCATTGCTCTTGAAATTTTTGGACGAAAATAATTAATTTGCATATAATAATAATTCATAAAATGACGNTTAAGTCTACGTAGCATTGCTCTTGAAATTTTTGGACGAAAATAATTAATTTGCATATAATAATAATTCATAAAATGACGCATCGGCCATTGTAAGTCTAACTATTTATGCAAAATATTTTTAAAAACTTTGAATAGTTAAGGGGGTAACGTGTTAATATAAATACTTGGGAAGACAAAAGTAAATGAGAGCCATAATATAAAATGGTTACATTCATCATTGTCTTCAGTTAGTTTATTACAAAAGTTTGGTTGTTCAACTTCTCATCACATTGATGTTGGCTATTCAACTGCTATATGTATATTTTTACATACACACACACACACACATATATATATATCCACATACACACACACACACACACACACACATATATATATATATATACATCCACACACACAAACACAATGTTAAAGTATAGCGTTTTAGTTTNTTACTCTATAAAAACATACATCATCTCACTTTGGTCTTTATCCCTCCAATTGTGTACACCTCACTTTTTGAATTTTCAATTTGAGTCTAAACGATCCGATCGATAGAACATCCTATTTGCAANATCATCTCACTTTGGTCTTTATCCCTCCAATTGTGTACACCTCACTTTTTGAATTTTCAATTTGAGTCTAAACGATCCGATCGATAGAACATCCTATTTGCAAAAAAAATCCGCTTTGCCCCTTGAAATGTATGAGAAATGTCAATTTGATCCCTCAACTATTAGTGTTGTCAGTGACATCTACAATGTTTTCAACTTGATTTGATGGTCCTTAAAACACTTCTGCAAAAATACCACGCGTGGCTCAAGGTAATTAGAAAAATTCCATATGCATTCTAGGAATGTAATTGACAAAGATAATGGTCGAGGAATCATAGCAACAGTTCAGACATACTTTGAGGGCTAAAAGTGGGCACTTAGTATTTTAATTTCCACTACAAGTCTAGCTTATGTCATCCATTGAACCATTTAAATGTTCCAAACTATAGACACCAAAATGGCACAATTAAAGAATACGGATCAAAGTGAGACGAGACACATATTTTAAAGACCATTATGACATCTGACAGAAGAAAATAACTATAGGATGTCTAAGGTTTTCTTTATTTTGATTGTTAAAGAAACCCTATGGTGATGATATGATATTGGCAGGTTGGTGCCAATGTCAAGGGGTTCTTCGCATGGTCATTCCTAGACACCTTTGTGTTGGGAAAATAGGCTTTTCCACAAGTGTAAATCAATGGAAGTAATATAAATAAAATAACAGAAAATAAATAAGCACACAAGATTTACGTGGTTCCCTCAAATAACTTGAGGTACATCCACGACGACCGGTAGGTCAGTTTCTTCCACTATCACCAAATCAGATTACAAAGTGGCCAAAAGGCATAAGCCTTACAAACACACCAAGGTGTAAATCACAAGAGGAAAATACCTCACAAAATAAGTGAACCAAATCTCCAAGAACAAACCGCAAGAAACCCAAATATCAAGTGAAGAAATATTACCCACTTGAAGAACAAATTTGCAGATTTTTCTGGCACCAAAAAAGGAGAAGAAGAAGGCTGAATTTTTGTTGAACCAAAGACTGCCGAAAATATGTCTTCTTGCCAAACCAAC